GTTTACACTACAAGTATATGAAGCATTCAAGAGGCCACCAAACCAAAAAAATTCAGAGGTATGACATGCCAAATAAAGCCCAAAAAACCACTGAAACATGATCTATGCATGCAAGAATGATAGGCTCCTTTGATAGGCTATAAAGAGGGTTGTTCTACACATGCAAGATGGACACCCAAGATGACAAAAGCAACTCTGTACAGAGCCTAGGCAGGTCCTAAAAGTCACCAAAAAGGGCCTGAAACAAGGCTTGGAGGTGTAAAAATGCAGGCTCCTTTGAAAGGCCAAATATGCTAGTAAACAAGACAACAAGAGAGAGGGTCACCCCTCTCTGATTTTGGCCTTCAAAACCATATTCTCACCACTGAAAATCCACTGGATTTCAGTGGTAGGAAGGCCAAGAAAAGACTAGCTCGAAGGCCATATGGCATGGCGCAAAACAAGTCCAAAACAAGCATGCAAGGGGGTAGACGACCCCCAACAACAAAGTGACCTTAAAAAAACATGAAAAGGACCTCAAAGAAAGACTTTTTTCAGTTTACACCAAAACTCAAATATGCTTGAAAGTATAGCTAAAAGATGAAGCAAAATAAAGGCCAAAAGAGGTAAAAAAGTGTTACCCTTGAAGCTCAGCAACTCCAGCAGCTTTGAGGCCAAAAACTCAGACCTTAGGACCTCTCAAGACCTTCCAAGAAGCTTAGGTTGGTGTTGGAGGTGTTAGGCTAAGAGGTGTAGTGTAAAGGTGCAAGAACAGGGGACTTTGGAGCTTGAAATAGAGAGATAGAGAGGGGTGTATGTATATGCCTTAACCAAATTTTTTTCAACCTCTCTAAAGGAGAGGGAGGGCCTCTCTTATAGAAAAACAAGAGGGTTCAAGCTTCTTGGAGAAGCTAAAAAAAAGTTCATGCTTCTTGGAGAAGCTAAAAAAGGTTCAAGCTTCTTGGAGAAGCTAAAAAAAGGTTCAAGCTTCTTCGAGAAGCTAAAAAAGGTTCAAAAGGTTCAAGCTTTCTCAAGAAGCTAAAACAAGGGTTCAAAAGGTTCAACTCAAAAAAAAATGGTCGTTGGCCCCATTTGGTGGTCTCCCGATTGAATGCATGCTAGTGGTGGGGTGGGAGACCAGTAAATGTGGCCCAAAAACCAAGAAAACCAGCTTCCCGACAAGAAAACCAAAAAACTGACAAGCAGGGAGAAAAGTGGTCTCCAAGGAAAAAAGGTGGTCTCCCACCCTTGTACCACCTCCCAAACAATGAAAATAGGGTCCATGCCAAAAATGAACCAAGACGGATGCAAAACGAAGGTTCGGGGGTCAAAACACGCAGCCGGGTGTCCCGAAAACAAACTATTAGGCACCGAAAGTGGCGTGCGACCACAAAGGTGGTCTCCCGGGGCACAGTGTCCCTCTAGACAGAGGAAACAAGGTGTGTGCCAAAAACCGGAGCAAACGGAGAAAGTTAAGCGGTCCCGAACCGAGGCGCACGGTCGAAGGCTCCGAAAACCAAAAACTGGTCTCCAAACGGGAACAGTGGCCTACGACCACGAAAAGTAGCCTATGGTCACTGAGAGATGGTTTACGAGACCTCTCCCTCCCTTCGGGAAGAGAAAACAGAACCTAGTTCGTAAACCGAGGCAAAGCACAAAAGGGTCCCGAGGTCCGGGGGTAAGGCTCTCAGCCAAAACTCCGAAACCTCAAAACGAACATAACATGCATCATCACCGAGTGCTCAATCGATGACGTCTGAGTCTTAAGGTCAGTCAAAAATGGGATGTCTACAACTGAGAGTATTACGAAGATGATCTATGGATAAAGTAAAGAGATTACTAATTTTATCTACGTCTTTTTTAATATTTTCTGCAAAATTAATCTGATAATCTATGATACTATTTAGCTCAGAATTATGTTCACTATGGCACTGATGTGTAAAAGTACCTTCGAAATTTATTTTTATCTATGTTAAGACGATGATTATGATTGCTGAGTTCTAAATTTAAATATTCTACTCTTTTCATACTCAAAATTAAATCCTACTTTAAAATTATTAAAAGTTACTATAATATGAAATTTATAACTAAATTGTCCAAAAATAAAAAGTACTCTATTTCCATAAACAAAATGCATAAACTAACTTAAACTGTCCTAAAACCGAACACTGCCTAATACCAATTTTTGGGAGTGATGAGTTAGTGGTCTACCACTATTTTGAAATTGGGCTGAGAATTATCTAATTAATTCTACAGTTATGCTAATAGGTTTTCAAGCTGTTGTATGGCTAGCTTTAAGGCTTCTTGTTTTACAGTTATCTGTCTATTTATTTGAGAAATTTTTAAACTGTAATTTTCTAGGGATCTGCCAGAAGCTAATGATAAGAGAAATTAATATCTTAATTTTTGATCTTCTAATTCTTGTATAAGTTCAGTACTGATCTTGATTTTAATTCTATGTTTTTCTTCTAAGGGTATAAAGTTTTGATTTTTAAATTCCTTTTATGGACAATATTTCCTTAATATTTCTACTCGGGTTGCTCTCCTTTTATTCTAAAATCCTTTTTCTTTGGCAAAAACTATTTTTAGGCAATGTTTTTTTTCATTACATGTACTCCCACCTTGAAGCTAAGCTTCGTTCAACATAGTATATTTTTATTTTCTATTCTTTACCTTTCTCCTTCTGCCTACAATTTGCCCTCAAACGCCTAACTACGGCTCACACGGGCTCTTCAGCTAAGGTCACTCAGTAATAAAATAGAAAACAACAGATACTACAAAGGTGCAAAGCATGTAATATTAATGAGCAAACAAGTATTCCATAAATTTAGTTTTTCCAAAAAGAAAATAAATTTTTAGAATAGAAGAGTTACCCTTTTGAAATATTTAAGGAAAAAGAGAGACTACTCACATTTCATATTAATAAGGAATATACTTACAAAGATTAGATTACGGACTCTGAAATTCTGAAAGACTTGGTACACTTAGAGGTTTTTTAGAGAGGTTGGAAATTTTTACAAAGTAGAGTGAAGGGAAATTTTTCATTCTGCCTCTTTCGTTGGCATGAATGCCAATTTATACAACACCAAAGGAAGATAAAAACAAAAACTCCAAATCTATGCTTAACATCTTACGTCTAAACTTTTCCTAAAAGTCTAAGACCTATTCAAAACCTATTCAAGCCTAGACTTAAGCTTTTTCAAAATCTAATAAAGACAAGGCTATATGCATACAATTATATGCCTATTTTGACGAACTTTCTACACAAATAAAAACAAGTAGAAGGTTTGGATAATGATGTCGGGTACTGCTTTGGGCCCCATCGCACATCATTCAATCCTCCCTTTTTGATAAAATTTTGACACTATAATTTATTACAGGACACGTGTACGGATTCTCACAGTTTTTCTTTAATAAAGCAGGGTAGGGGTTATCTGCTTTATTAAAGTAGTGAGTGAAGGAGAATGCTTATTACTGATAGACACAAATAATTACAGACATAGATATTTACAATAGCTATTTATCTTTTCTTGGCGTGCTCATCTCTGACTATTGAAGAAAGGTTTTATCTTCTACAAAATTTGTCTTTTTCCTCTAGGATGCCAATAATTGATGTCGACGCTTGGATGCTGAATCTTCAAAACGGATTCTTTGTGGAAGATTTACAAAATTTGAAGAGTCAAAAATCTTGGAACTATTACAATATTTTCAAAATAAATATGCTCAAAAATAAAAAATAAAGAAATAAAATAAAATGAGTAAAAGGAAGAGAAATCAAACATAACGATTTATAGTGGTTCAACACGCTAAGACCTAGGTCCATTTTTCAAATAGTAATTATACCACTAGCTTCACGGGTGCTAGTGAACTTTTACAACAAGTGACCAATTCCGATCATTTTGACTAGTTTAGAATCCAGTGTCTAATCACATCTAACTAAGTAATTTTTTATCAATTAGTTTTGAATTCGGTGCCTAGTCACACGTAACCCAAGTGATTTTATCTAAAAAATATCACTCACAAAAACTCTCTTTTTATAAGAATAATATGAATAAGGGATAGAAAACCCTTTTACAATTTTGCTCAAACTCCCAATAAATTTTTTTCACAAAAAATATAACTCAATAAAACACAATACAATATTTGAGAATATTTCAATATCACAAATTTTTTTTCTTTTATTTTTCTCACACCAAAACACTTCTATATATAATAGAAAATATATATGTTATATATCCGTTGGAGGAATTGCCGTTCCTCTTGCTGAATTCGACGTCCCTGACGCAGGGCAACGGTTCAAATTTTCTTTTCAAATTTTGTAGGCATAAGGTGGAATAAGATAGCGAAAGGTTGCTTTCTATATGTAATAATATAATTTTTTCAATCATTTTTCGTAAAAAAACAAAGAATGCACAGTAACTTGCATAACTTATCTATTAAAATATTTAATTGCACAGTAACTTTTCCTTAAATAATATTTATATAAGATATGAAATATATATCCCTTTTAAAATCATTGTAATTATTGTAGAGATTTTAGATGTACTCTAATAAAAATAAGTGCATCAATTTTGTCAAAAAAAAGCAACTCACCAATATTACATTTGTCAAAAAAATACAATCAATTAATATCAAATTTGTCAAAAAATAAATAGTGGCCAACCTTATTTTCCAAAACGTGAATAGTAAATGTTATAATATTTTTGTAAAATCAGATCTTGCACAGTAATTTTGATTTAAATAATATTTATAACAAATACATCATACAATATATATTTTAAATAGATAATATTTTTGTGTCAAAAAATGTAATATATGTATATTAAAAAATCACAATTCATCTAATAATATTTTAGATATCATCAAAATTAAATCACATAATTAACAGATTTGTTTATATATTTGACCATGATTTAGTGATAATTATATGCTAAAACTATTTGTGCCATAATGATTTCAAAACAAAAAACAAAAGAACAAAAAGATGAGTTCAATTCATATTACTAGCTATAGCCAAGATAAAAAGAGAAAAAGACTTGCATATATGGATGCCAAATGAGCCATGATTATTGAATTAAAACCAAGGGAAACAAACCACGAGACACAGCGATCTGTCCAAAAGAACAAGCTAGCTAAACTAGCCATTTTCCACCTTATGTTCTCTAAGGAAGATCGAGGAAAATGATTATTTTCCCCCTTATTATTTTCCTATGGAAATAGACTGAAAATGTTTAAAACCCTTAAAATATCACCTCTAAATTTATCCCCAATAACATGAATCATTATTGTTGATTTGTTTAGAAATAAACCAACTAAAACTTAATCCTTCCCATATTAGTGTAAATAAATTTAGGTATGATATTTTAAAAACTCTGACATTACTCGGCGAGACACAATGACTCTAAAAACACAACCACACACCAAATGAGCAAGTGAATTCATCCATGGATTGCAATCCACCCTATTCAATGCCATTCATCTTCTTCATGTTAATGATAAACTCATAGACCTTATCTGAACTTGGAAGAAGTTTGGCAACACTCTCTCTCTGCATGCACCTCTTCATCCAAGCTTTGAATTTGGGGCAATGATCTTCAACCTTGATACCCCCTAGTTTCTCATATGCATCAAACCAAGAGGTGAGTGGGACCAATATGATGTCAACAAATCCAAAGACATCCCCACCAAAGTAGTCCTTGTCCCCCAATGCTCCCTCCAATTGCTTTAGAATCTCTATGAAGCCCTTCTTTGCCACCTCTTGTTCCTCTCCTTTGGTCATCCATGTAGCGTTGCCCTCATTGAATACCTGTGTCATAATTTTAGTCACCATCACCATGGAATGTCTTATTCATATGCATTGATTGATTGCTTGTTTGGATTTGGGCGATTTAAAAAAGAAAAGAAAATAAGAAGAATTGTCTCTTCTCAAAATAGATAGTTTAACAGGAGAGAAATTTTGGTGAAATGAGGAGAAAAAGGAGAGAGTTTTCTCACACATTTTAATATATATTTTTTGCATGTTTATTGAGAGTAATAACAACCCTTTAGACGGTGATTAGCATTTTCTTTTTTTAAAAAAAATGTAATGTAAGCACCTTGTGATGCCATTGTTTCTAATTCACCACAATTTTCTTTTATTGAACTGATAAAATTTAAAATGACTCTTAGAAAAAACATATATTGTGATGTGGTATGATAGTGTGAACTCAATAGGAATGAAAATAAAAACCCAAACCTTCTTTTCAATGAAGTCGACCCAAAACCTAGCCTGGGCTCGGTCATACGCACAAGATGGCAGTAATGGTGGAGAAGGCCATGTCTCATCAATGTAGCTGACAATGTTGACGGACTCACACAATGGCTTTCCATTGTGTAAAAAAACGGGTACTTTTTGGTGAATGGGGTTGGACTTTAGCAGTAGATCGCTCTTCCCCCCAAACAAATCCTCCTGTCTGCATTCGACAGCCACGTTTTTCTCAGCCAACGCAATTTTCACCCTCAAGCAAAATGGGCTAACCCAGAAATCCAAAAGAACAACCTCTTCTTTTGACATCTTTTCTACTCTGTTTTATCTGTTTCTTCTTCTTTTGCTTTTTTGTTTTTCAAGTGATGACAATATGAGGAAGAAGTTGCCATTTATATAGAAGAGAGAGATATCAAAGTTTTGAAGATTTGAAATTCCAATGAAGTAATCTAGGTTGATCCTCCAAAGAAGCCTAGGTCTTGTCATTTGTTAACATCTAGTATGTTGGCATTATACAATTGTAAACATGGGGCTTGATGCCGGCACATTGTAAACATAGGTTACCTTTGAATATGAGGAGACAAGTTGGCCTCGTAGATGATGTGCTCTCCTTTTATTTTATCTGATGTGATGCCAAATTCGAATTACACGGGTACATGATGCTATATTTTCCCCTCCCACCTACCAATTATTAAAGAGAAAATAATAAGATAAATTGGGAATAGATAGAATCCCAAAATCATATTAAGCTGTAAGATACTATGTATCATTGAATTCTTTCTTATAAAAATATCTTGTGTGAAGTAGCAGAATGGGAGTTTCATTGTGAATTTTCATTTCATATTTATTAGAATCATTTGTTGTAATTTTTATCAAGTTGAAAGTTAATAATCAGAAAATAAAAACTAAAAGCACTCCTCCATCAACTTCTATATAATCAACTTTTGTCAACTTATTCAAATTATTTGAGCCTCACCAGCTGTGAACAAAAGTTGCACCGAATATATTAGCACTCTTATTAAAAAAAAAAAAAAAAATTACAAGCAACTCTATAAGCTACACGAAAACAACACCATTGCTCCACTTCAGTCAGGCCTCAACCATTTTCTTGTACCCATATGAAGGGATTAAACCTAAATTTAAAGCAGCTTTTAAGGCCAATAAGAGTATGGTAAATTTGCCATTCAATTTGATTTATCATACTGTCAATTTACTATTGTTGTCACTTCTAGACAACAGTCTAGACAACAGTCAACTCCATAACACTAGAAGAAGAAGATAATCCATCCCATTCAATCACAGGATTAAATTGAGTAAAAGTTGACAGTGAAGATAAAGAAATGAAGTAATGAACCAATTGATACTATAACTGTTATTTACAATTCTATACAGTATGGAATTATACTGTTTTGTCGCACACAACGCCAGGTACCTGAAAGGATAGGACGCCAGATGTGAAATTTATGTACTCATTTAAATGGTAATCGGTTCCAAAACCCTGACATAAACACAGATATGAAGAAAGCGTTCAGGGTTCATCAAATTGTTCACCAGCCAAGCAAAAGGGATCTCCAATTTAGGTTCGATCCCTTGAATTCGGAGAAGCTTGATTTCAACATTATCTGATAGGATACACGACTCCACTTGTTCACACAATGTTTCTCCGGCTTCTTCTGCAGTTCTCGCACTGCTTCCTTCTTCCGAGGGTAATCTCTGTTCATCCTCAACTTCTGCTCTGGAAATTTCCTCGTTGATAGAGGACTTTTCTGCAAAAAACTCCGGCAGAAGAGTTTTTAAAGCATCAAGTAAGGTGAAGCATTTGCCTGTAGTACAAAGACATAAAAGCACGCAATAGGGTCATAAAACCACTCAGGATACAAGAAAGCCCCACCAATCAACATTGCAAGTGCAACAAAAGAACATGACATACAATATCCACAAAACAGTGAGGAACACAATAATAATTATAAAAAATAAAAATAAAAAAATTATAAAAAAAATTGCTTTCTTAGATTTTTTTGGGAACCCGCCAAACCTTTTAAGCAATGTTTTGAAAATTGGACCAGACAAGCCAATTCGACCGATTGACCCATCAACCAGTCAAGGTTCCAGTCCAGATTTCCCATCAAACCCATTCAACACTGAAAACCAGCTTGTTTGCTAGAACCGGAAGAAACCGCAGTTGAACCGGGTATTCATTCAAACCAAAAGCAGGTTCATTGAAAACCAGAGCACCCACAAGTGTGGCATTGAAAAAGAAGCAAACTTACAAAGGTTCGAACTCTGGACCTCCCACAGTGAGTGAGTTCAAATCATTTACCACTACATCAACCAACTTCCTTGTTGATATTCCATACACTTCTATTCTTGACTACATTCTTTGTAATTTTTTTAGTGTAATCAGATTTTGTTACAAACAATCAATATATAAACAATTATATTTAATATTTATATTTTTGATTTAATTATAATTTTTAATATATAAAAAATAATTATGAGGTGACGGGTTCAATTCAAATTCACCTAATGGTTGAACCAGTGACCCTCAACCCAATCTCTTTTCTGGTTTAACCACCAGTCCGGGTTTCAGAACATTGCTTTTAAGTAGCTGAACTTGTCATGGCAAATAACTGAATGATAGAAGCCAGCAACAAGATTCTTACTGCCAAAAGTACACCATTACAGGCTGGTGTTTTGGATTAAATCAATCTATACCATTACAGGTGTGATTGTCAACTTGCTTAGGAGGTGTCCTGAGCTTGCCTCATGGGACTTTGTAAGCACCACACGAGGTGTGCTTGAGTTGTTTGCCTACAAACCTCGCCCCGTGACACCTAGGCAGTCTATACAGTGACAGGATGCCATTTTGGAGTTGGATCCAAGGTGACTGCCGAGCAAGCGAGGTGTGGTGCTGAGATAAGCAAGGCACAAGGCGGCGAAGCGGACAGCTGAAGGGTGGGGGTGAATCGCACAGAGCCACATAGGTGAGGGGAAAGCTCACAAGCCAATCATGAGAAGCCAAGGCAAATGAACTGCTAAGGCAAGAGTTGCCTATCAACAACAACAATAAAAATAATAATGGAGACGAAGGGATGGGGAGGAGGAAAAATCATTCACACGGATGAAGTCCTAAACAAAAACAGGTTTGCAACAATATAGTCACAAACATATAGACTAACCATAAAGATTTTGTCAGAACAAAGGAAAAGCTATAATCACACATCTATGAACTCCTATTTTTTCTTTTTCTACAAGAAATCATGGAAAAATATCATCATTTCTTGTGCACTCGGGAAGTATTTTTTTTACCACTTTCCAATCGCATGGGTGATGTTGGGCATGTTAGAATAATATATTATTATTTGCGTTATTATTTTGTAATTATTCTATCCCTTAGGGCTCCCTTGTAATTATTGATCTTCATTAATATAAATAGGGAATGATATCCTAAACATTCCCTAATCTGAGTATTCTCTAAAAATAACATGGTATCAGAGCCACAATCCTAAACCCTAAATCCATATACCACACAGCCATCACAAAGCTCCCAGCCTAAACCAAGTTTGATTGCACCTGCTAGAGGCAGCCCTAAGTCGTCGCAGGTGTCCAAGTCGCAGGTATCAGAGCCACAATCCTAAACCCTAAATCCATATACCACACAGCCATCACAAAGCTCCCAGCCTAAACCAAGTTTGATTGCACCTGCTAGAGGCAGCCCTAAGTCGTCGCAGGTGTCCAAGTCTCCTATTGGTCCCTGTCGACAGGCCTTCTGGCCTAACTCAACCCTGTGGTTCCTGCCAACTGGTCTTCTGGCCTGAGTCGACTCCTTTGATCACTGTCGCAGGTGCCCAGACTTGTGTTGGCCCTGCCGACAGGCCTTCTTGTCTCATCGACCACTGTGGCTAGGTCGACTTGCCTAGCCGACCACTATGGCTGTGTCGTCTTGTTTTGCCTACAACCCTGAGGCATTCTGGCTTCCTTCGTCTCCCTCTACTGTGTCATCTACGTGTGTTTAACCTTCTGCTTTGACTTCTTCTGTCGTGACTCTAACCTTCTGCTTTGACTGCTTCTATCGTGACTGAGATGAGTGTTTGACCTCTGTTATTTTTTTTTCTTTTCTTCTAAAATATATATATATATATATATAATTTTTTGATGAGTATTTAATTCTTTCATATTCTTAGTGGTCATCGTGCCTACTATGCCTCCGCCATCTCCCGGGTTTGTGATTGGCACTAGTTTTTTGTTGAGTGTTAGGTAGCATAGTATCCATGGCTGATTCTACCAGTGGGTCCACTACTTCTCGAACACCTAAGAGTAAGAGTTCCATTATACTTATTACTATGACTGATAACCCCAACCCTAGTCTTAAAATCACCACCTCTCTATTCAATGGTCAGAACTATCTAGCGTGGTCGCAGAGTTTGACTATTTTTTTGAAGAGCAAAGGAAAGATGGGGTATGTTGATGGCAGGATCCAGACACCTAGCACCACGGACCCGGGTTATAATCAATGAGAGATCACCAACTCCCTAATTATGGGTTGGTTGATACATTCTATGGCCCCGAAGATTGAAGAGGGTTATCTATTTATGAACACTGCACAGGATATTTGGGAGGCTGTGGCTACTACTTATTCCCGCAAAGGGAATTTCTCACAGGCATTTGAGTTGCGTCGCTCCATTGAGAGCTCTGTTCAAGGGGAGCAGACTGTTCTTCAGTACTTTACCTTCCTCACCAACGGTTGGAAACGCCTTGATCACCTGCAGGACTATAAACCTGTTTGCATTGCTGATTCAGTCGGGTACAGGAAGTTCATTGCACAAGAAAAGGTCTTCAAGTTTCTGGCCTGTCTCAATGTGGAGTATGATCCGGTTCGGAGTCGGGTTCTGGGTATGAACACTCTTCTTTCACTTCAGGAGGCATTCGCCTATGTACAGAATGAGTAGTGTCGTCGGTCTGCTATGATGTTACCTGTCTCTACTGACTGCTCCGCCTTACTGTCTACCTCTAGAGATGGCCTCAACCTGACTCCCATCCCTTCGTCTACCGCCAAGGAATCTGTATTTTGTGATTAATGTAAAAAATCGCGGCATACTCGTGAGACATGTTGGAAGCTTCATAGGACTCTATCCAAGGGTCAAGGTGATCGATCTGGTTTTAGAGGAGGTAGATCAGGCAAGTCTAGAGGATGGGATTCTCATCCACGGGCTCGTTAGTCTAGTACCGTTGACGCACTTGATTCTACTTCCGCTTCCGTTGGCCAGCCTTCTGATGGTCTCTTTGGCATAACTACTCCTGAGCTTAAGGATGTTTTGCATCACTTGCTGGACCACCGATCTTCTACTGCTCTCAGTACATCTTCCTCATCGTTTGCCTACTCAGGTAACTTGGCCTCTTCTCCTTGTGTTTTCCTGTCTCATAAGTCTTTGCCCTGGATTATTGATTCTGGTGCCTCAGATCATATGTCTAGCTCCTCTGACCTTTTTTCCGCCTATAAGCCCTCTTCAAGTCAGGACAAAATTAGAATTGCAGATGGTACTGTTTCTTTTATTTCTGAGAAAGGTTTAGTCCATGTCACTCCTACGATCTTTTGTTCTCCATGTTCCCAATTTTCTGTTAACCTGTTATCCTTGAGTCGGATTACACAAGATTTGAATTGTAGTGTGACGTTTTTTCCTGATCATTGTCTTTTTCAGGACCTTGCCACGAGGAGGACGATTAGCAATGGTAGTGCAGAAAATGGTCTCTGCTTCTTGGATCAATCGGACAAGCTTGCTCTTCTTTTCACCACGAGTCCTACTACCCAAGATGATTTATGGCTGTGACATCAGTGTCTTAGGCATCCTTCTTTTTATTTACTTAAGTATTTATTTCCATTTGGTTTTGCAAACAATAATGTGTCTGAGTTTCTTTGTGAGTTTTGTCAACTTGGAAAACAACACAGAGCTTCTTTTGCTCCCAGTTTTAATAAAAGTTTAGTTCCTTTTTCATTAATACATCCTGATGTCTGGGGTCCATCTCGTGTTATGTCTGTGAAAGGTCATCGATGGTTTGTTACAATTATTGATGATTTTTCTCGTACTACTTGGGTGTATCTCATGAAGACAAGAGTGAGGTTTTCTCTGTGTTCCGCAATTTTCATAAGATGATTTATACTCAGTTTAGGGCTATTGTCAAACTGTTCCGTTTTGATAATGGAGGGGAATACATAGATTTTGGGTTAAGGCAATATTTTTCTGCTCATAGCATTATCCATCAGACCTCTTGCACCAATAGCCCTCAACAAAATGGGATGGCAGAACGTAAGAATCGTCATCTTCTTAACATAGCTTGGTGCATGTGTTTTTCTATGAATGTGCCTCGGCCCTACTAGGGCGATGCTGTTCTCACCACTGCCCATCTTATTAATCATTTTCCTAACCAAGTTTTGCAAAAACAAGCTCCTCTTCAAGTCCTCCTAGGTTTCGAGTCCTTATTTTCTATTCCTCTAAAAATATTTGACTGTGTTTGTTTTGTCCACAATCACTCTCTTACTTGTAATAAGTTGGACCTTTGCTCCCTCAAATGTGTTTTCCTTGGGTACTCTCCTACTCAAAAGAGGTATAAGTGCTACCACCCTCTTTCTCGTAAGTGGTTTGTGTCCATGGATGTCACATTCTTTGAGTCCCAATCCTATTTCTTGTCCTCTCCGGTGTCCCAGTTCTCCCTTCAAGGGGAGCTTTGGTGTGAAGTGATTCATGTGATTCCTATGATGGAACCAGTTGTTCTTGCACCACTACCTATTGGGACTACAAAATCCAATGTCACCAATGATAGGGAAGGGCAAGTTTAAGTCAGGGACAAAGAGAGACAGAAAGTTAACTGGATACAAAAGAGCACTTCTGCTCCTCTACTGCCATCTCCTGCTTCTAATGAGAGTCCAGGTAACTTTGAATCTATTGAGTCCATCGATCTTAATGTTCCTATTGCCAAGAGAAAGGGTATGAGATCTTGTACTCAACATCCTATCTCAAATTTTGTGTCCTACCCTCATTTATCATCCTCCTATAGAGCATTGGTGTCAAATATTTCCTTTGTTAGCATTTCTAACCATTTTCAGGATGCTCTTACTACCTCTAAGTGAAAACTTGCCATGATTGAGGAAATAAAAGTACTTGGGAAGAATGACATTTGGGAATTAACTAAGTTATATAAGGGCAAACGACCTGTGGGATGCAATGGGTGTATACTGTAAAATACAAAGCGAATGGGTCTATTGAGCGTTACAAGGCTAGACTTGTGGCAAAAAGGTTCACTCAGACATATGGCGTTGACTATCAGGAGACCTTTGCACCAGTGGCTAAGATGAATTCGCTTAGAATACTTCTCTCTCTAGCAGCTAATCTAGACTGGCCACTTCATCAATTTAATGTAAAGAATGTCTTTCTCCATAGTGACCTCGAAGAAGAGGTATATATGGACATTCCTCCTGGTTTTGAGGATCATTAGACTGAAGGCAAAGTATATAGGCTTCAAAGTCATTATATGGTCTCAAACAGTCTCCAAGGGCCTGGTTTAAGAGATTCACTTAAGCTATGCTTAAATATGACTTCAAACAGAGTCAGGCAGATCACAACTTGTTTGTGAAACATTCCTCACATGGTAAGACTACAACACTCATTGTTTATGTAGATGACATAGTTCTTACAGGCGATGATAGTGAAGAAATACCTCTGTTGAAGAAATATTTAACCAGTGAATTTGAAATCAAGGACTTAGGGAGCTTAAAGTATTTTCTGGGAATTGAAGTTGCTCGCTCCAAGGATGGGATATTTATCTTACAAAGGAAGTATGTGCTTAACCTGTTAAAGGATACCAGAATGCTTGACTGCGAGTCCTGTGACACTCCACTGGAACCCAATCAGAAACAGGAGAATGACGAAGGAGGAGTAGCTGTTGATAGGGAGAGCTATCAGTGATTAGTGGATAAGCTCATTTACCTATCTCACTCCCGTCCTGATATTGCGATTACTGTCAATGTGGTTAGCCAATTTATGCATGCTCCTCATCAGATTCACTTCGAGACTGTCATGAGAATTTGGAGGTACTTGAAGTCTACTCCTAATAAAGGTCTCTATTTTTCAAAGTATGATCATCTTCATGTGAAAGCCTATACAGATGCTGACTGGGCTAGATCAGTAACTGATAGGAGATCGACTTCAGGGTATTGCACTTTTGTTGGAGGCAACTTAGTTACTTGGAGGAGTAAGAAACAGAATGTGGTTGCCACGTCAAATGCAGAAGCTGAGTTTAGAGCTATGGCACAAGGGGTGTGTAAGCTCTTATGGATCAAGGTATTGTTGAGTAATCTAGGTATTGATCAAACAGACTCCATGCGGTTATACTGTGATAATAAGACCGCTATTAACATTGCTCACAATCCAGTTCAACATGATAAGACAAAACATGTTGAGGTTGATCGTCATTTCATTAAGGAGAAACTCACTAGTGGCACAATATGTACTCACTTTGTGCAGTCTGGTGAACAACTTGCTGACATCCTCATCAAGGGAGTTAGGAGTAAGCCATTTCATGACATTTTAGGCAAGCTGGACATGAGAAATATCTTCGCACCAGCTTGAGGGCGAGTGTTAGAATAATATATTAGTATTTAGGTTATTATTTTGTAATTATTCTATGCCTTAGGGCTCCCTTATAATTATTGATTTTCATTAATATAAATAGGGGATGATATCCTAATCATTCCCTAATCTAGGTATTCTCTAAAAATAACAGAGCATGCTAACAAAAAAATGTGTAGTTTAAGAAATTTCTCATAGAGCATGTTTAGGCCATTATGGGGTGAAATCTTGGGCTAATTTTGAGACTTTAAGTCAATTTAATTTAGGGTTGGTTTGGGATGTTCTAAAAAAGTGCACTTTTTGACTTATTGGCTTATATGGGTTGGGTTTGGGTTGGCTTTGATGTGATGTGTTAGAGAGGTGATGTGATTTAAATAAGATGATGTGACTTAAATAGGATAGTGACTTTTTGTATTATTTAGTTTATGTCAAACCAACTCTTAATTTAGTATGTGGTTGGATAAATTTAATGGTCTTTATCAAGTTTTAATGGTTAGGGATATTTTTTTTATAATGTTACAATTTGTTAGACTTGGGTTGTGGGAGCTTCTATTCCCACACCCCATGTTTTCTCAGGTGACACCATTACTCAGTTCACACACAAAATTTTGATTTTTTACTCAACTCACACCACTTAATATCCATTACACCATCATCTTCAACCTTCAACCCCTAACCCATCAACAACCACCACCCACTGCCACCACATTTATCATTGGTGTCACCCCTCTCCATCGCCTCCCTCCACACCCCACCTCCTTTGTAAATCCAAAAACCCCCCTTCACTTCCCTCCACGCCCCCGCCTCATTCTTCTTCTTCTTCTTCTTCTTCTTCTTCTTCTTCTTCCAAGATCCAAGGAGGGGTCACAATGGTTGTAGTGCCGTCTAGGGTTTTGCAATAGCCAGGGTTAGGGTTGGGGTTGGGGTTAGAGTTGGGAGAGAAGGTGTGTATCTGTGCTTAACGGTAAATTGCTTGAAGGACGCAATCGTAATTTAAAAATAAATAAACAAGATATGTTAACTAAGAAAAATAGATATGTGCAAAAAGAAGCTCCCTTGGGTTGCAGGCCTACAATGTTATAATTGTTGAAAGTTAACTAATTTCCCATTTGCGGGCCTGCCTTTGTAGAACTAGAAAAAGTATAATAATCTATAAATATGCATGTAATCTTTCTTTTCAATAGAGTTAGAGATATGAGAATTTGAAATTGAATTGTGTGAATTTGTCTAATCCTTGTGAAGGTGAAGTGTTTCTTCTTCACATTCTTCTTCCCTTCACAAGAACTTAAAATAATATTCTCATATTACTATTCATAACCCTCAAAAAATGCCATTTTCAGCCCCAAAACCCTGACAAATCAACCTTAAATTACACCAAACCCTTTGCCTACCTTTTGACCTTTGAACTAAAACAAACCCCATAAAATCATAGGCTATATCAGAGACAATTTTTTGTCCAAATATCAAAAAACATGTTTGGAAGTCCAGCAAAATCTCGCTTTTTGTTTTTTGGTCTAATAGAAATTAGCACACTCTCATCCATCAAGGGCCTAAGAAGTCCAAACCCACACCACACACCAACCACCATAACTTTTGTCACGCCTAGTTGTCTACAAACCCTAAAACTTTCATCTAGCATGTAAAACCCCAACTCTAGAAGCCATCTATAATTAAAACCTACCACAGATTTCTCCATAAGCAACCTTGCACCAAGTTTACTAAGCTATCATATATCATGTGTTTATCAAATTAAGAAACAAAAAAAAAATGTATTGAATTTCAATTCACCACATTCACACACTTCTAGCAAGAAATTCCTCAAAGAATATGCTCACTTCAGCTTACCTTCTCCATGAATCTCAACAGGTCGATTTATGTAAGAGATTTTGTCCCAACTATCAATAATAGGTGCATCTTCCAAATCATCAAAATCCTCATGGACATTGCAAACGTACAACCGAACTGGGATTCGACCTGGTCAAAGCTCAAACCACAAGAAAACTAAACAATACTACAACCAAAATCACGAAAAATAAATAAATAAAATTGCAATCAAAGCAAGGGTGTGATTACTCGTCCTAGTTTCCCAATCAAAGATAAATGTCATCCGCTTTGTCACTATAACAAAAAAAGCTTATAATCTACAATTTAAACTTCTATGGCAAAATCTTTAACTACCTATCAGTGTCAGACTCTTTTGCCTAAAATGTCAAATAGATTGATACCCCAGAGTCATATCCAAAAGTCTATAAATTGTTTGGTTTTATTTAGAGAGAGAGAGAGAGAGAGAGAGAGAGAACTCATCCAATTGAGCCAAGTGAGTTAACGACATTGCTTAGTGCCCAATTCATGAAGCTACAGCATGAGAGAGGGATCATCACAAATATAAATACATAACCACAGATCTAGAGCAACTATGCACATCTTTTATTTTATTTTTGGACAATTAAGATTTAGTACAAAAGGCATTAGTGGGAAGCTACCCATACAGTTTCACAAGTATACCTAAACAAAATAGAGAAAAAAAGTACATTCTCTCAGTCCTCAAAATTCTCTACTAAATTCAAAAATTCCATAATCGTGTTAATAGCTCCCGAGACCCACCTATTCGAAAGAGGTCAATAACCAGAATTATATTAAAAAGAGGTTCATAAGATGCGCAAGATTAACTTCTATGTCAAATTCTCTACAAATACTAATTCATGACTTGCTTACTGTATCTCATAGTTCCTAAATTGTAAACTTCAAAGCAATGTCTAGACTTTTCTCACCTGTATTGACTGACCCAGTAGTATCTGTCTCAACAGTGCTTTGTTGAGATTTTAAAGAGGATGAGTTCAGTTTCGCTGAAAACTCATCTCCACCTATTCCAAGTTTAAGCTTAGATGAAACCCGGAGGTAGGCTTCCAAGTTACCTGCAACAATATTTGCGTGCAAGTTAGAGCATGACCAGGCTAAAAATATTAATGAAAACTATGCTGTTTCAACAAATCAACAGATAATTTCACATGCAACTAAGAAACCACTTGGTATAGATTGCTGAAAACATTCTTATCAGGCTATCAGTGTTGTTTTTCAGACCTTGTTAGTTATAACATGAATCTCCGGTTCTGCGTGCATATCTACATATGTGAAGGAAAACATACCATTTCATTTTCTTCTCTCTTTTTTTCCAGTAGCCTACCCCAAGTTCATGAGATAAGACTTTTGTGAGAACGGTGGAAACATCCATTGTTGTTTAAGGCTTGAAGTATTATTTTCTTTTGCTTTCTTTATTTAATTTTTTTTGGGGTGGAGGGGGAATAGGGAAAAGAAAAATAGGTGGCCCAAGCTAATGCCACCAACCGTATTCAAGTTTCCCAAATAATAATTGTAACATGACCAAAACCAAAGTAGGACTAATCATCATCCAGAATTCCAATCACTGGTTGTCATGAGCTCAAGAATTCTAGCCCTGAAAAAGCAATACAAATAACACTAATGCTAAGAGCACAGAATAGATCACAAAAAGTGCAAATCAATCTCATAGAGAAATATGGAATTCTGTGGGAAGTCATATTTGATGAAAGGCGTATGTACGGCTTGGAGGGAGATGTAGATATATGTCCATCTAAAGCGTATATAGCATAAGAGTTGCCTCCTACAAATGAATGATAAGTGTCTTTATTTTTATTAAAGAAAAGATCTACTATCACCTTTTCATGTGTGGACCCCTCCACAATTGAGCTTAATCACAACCCTCCATTACATTTTTTGTGAAGCATTATGTGATCCATTCTGTGTTACTAGCATTACTGTACAAATAATGGTCTCAAAGTTTTACTTTCTAAACTTGTAACTACATGTTCAGTGCAGACTTTTTATACACAAATGGTGTCCCTTTGGCACATTAAGTTCATATCACAATTTTACAAAATATCAATTTATACTGTTAAAGTGGCTTCTCACTTAAACTCTGGCTATCAATAGCCTTCCTATTTAACTAACCTAACTTTACAGTCAAAGCAGCTAGTTTCAATTTCTAAGTGGCAAACAAATATTATGTTAAGATAATTGGGTGGAAACCATATCTTCATTAGAGGCTTGAGAATTAAAAAATTAATTATTAGTGTTGACTTCATCCAAAGAAAACACCAAATTAAATTCATATGCACAGAACCATGGTGGCCCTCTTGACATAAATCAGACGGAAACTAAAAACTAACATTGAAGCAAAAGCCAACAACCACTTTGGACAAACCTTAACTGAAAAATAAAACATATTTCTCTCACATAAAATACCAAATAAGTAATAGGCACAAAAATCACCGTAACTGCTAAGTGCTAATATTCATTGAACGGAACAACTAACCTCTCTCCGAGAGACCCTAACATTTGTTCTTCACCCAACAGTGTTCTTCACTTTTGAGGATGAGAACAGAAGGAGCAAAGAATTGGCAATGGGTATGCTTTTTTGAGAGCTGGCAGAGAGCGGACAGTGGGACGAGTTGATGGTAAGGGCAGAAAGGGTGTTTGTGAGAGAAACCTGCGCAACATTTGTGTGAAAAAATCCTCAGGTGAGCTTGTTGGAGTTATGCCGTGGAGGAATCAAAGTTGTGAACCCCGTACCAGACAGTATACCCATTTTTTTATTGGTACTGTATGTAGTAGTACCGGCACATTTTTGAGTACCACTTTCGGATTTTTATCGTTATGAATATTATAGGTAAAATAATACTGCTGCATTTGTTTTTATCTACAAACGATACGACACGGAGGAAGCATCTGGGATGAAGACATGGGTGTTTGGATCAGTTAGACAATCAGTTAGCCAGTGACAGGTCTGTCATGAACCCACTTGGGAACACCATCTGAAGGCACCTCACATTTTTCCAACACAAAAGCAAATAGAATGGGATGGGCTGTAATAGACGGGTAGCAATCAGGGCAATTTTGAACAGCTGTGCAATGAAATCGGGACAATTTTAGCAACACGAGCGTTAAGATGATATAAGCTTACACTCTTTTTATATAGGTTATAAAAATGATTAATCTTATACCATCAAAAAATATTATCACCTATACAGTAAATGAGGAGAGGTAGAAAAGAAATAGAAAAAGATGTATCAACTCATAATCATTTAATTGGCATACCATTCATGACAGAGTGCCACAGCTCCACCTGATCAGATTGGGACATATTCATGACATTCTTGCAATTTCCATTGATTATGTATGCTGCCTGTGGACAACGTAAACTTTGTTACAACTAAGGCACTCAAACATAAGGGACATTCTAATTTTGTATAGCATTTTGAAGTATCAATGTTACACTTCAAGCTGTCAAAGAGAGATATAGAGGAGTAATAAGTAAAGTGGATACTAGTGCATTACAAGTTGTCTCATGAATTATAGATAAGGCCAGAAGAGCATAAATATGTACAAACTCTCTTTTTAGTTCATAAGTTGTCTGTCTCACCCTCTCCACTCCTACCAGAGATTGCAGTCTCTTCATATTAATCCCAGTGTTATTTAAGGCGAGAGGCGCACAAAGGCACTAAGGTCACTTGGTGTGTAAGTGCAAGGAAAGGCATAGGATCCACTGAAGTGGGGTGCACGTTGACAACAGAAAACAGATAATTTAATATAGACAAATAATTCAAGTTTCAACATATGGAAAAACAAAAAGTTCACAAGTTCTAACCACAAAGACAGTAAGAATACATCTACCAAGTGTGCATACTAGGTCTTTTCTACTACTTCGGATCTTAATTGCACGAAGCGGGAGCGGGGGCGGGAGCGGGAGCGGGGAAACGTGGCCACTTAGAGGAGTCGTAAATTAAGAGCGCTTATATATTATTTTTATTAATTATATTTTATTTATTATAATAAATAATGAATAATAAATTATGTTCAAATAAATAAAAAATAAAAATTAGATCTTTTATTTTATAAATTTTTTAACTTTTTTTTTATTATATATGATTTAAATAGATTTCTTTTAAATAATTAGATGATTTATTTTATTTATTATATGTTAAAAAGTTAGGAATAATAAATTTTAATAAATAATTTTTTATTTTAGACAGAAGAATTATATTATCTATGACAAATTATATTATATATGATAAATATTATATATATTAAATATAATAAATTATATTATATTATACATATATGATAAATTATATTTATATTATGTAATATAAAACGGAGAGGGAGAGGGAGAGGGAGAGGGGGGGAGAACAGAGATCGAGAGAGAGAAAGAGAGAGAGAGAGCGAGAGAGAGAGAGAATAGAGACGAGAGAGGGAGACGAACAGAGAGACGAAGCAAACAGAGACGAGAGAGGGAGACGAAGAGAGAGACAAAGAGGAGATCGAGACTGAGAGAAGAGAGAGCGACAAAGACAGTCGAGATCGACCGTAAGAGAAGGTCTCAGCCCTAATCGCAATTCTTTCGCATTAGAAGCGCGATTCTCTCGTATTAGAAGCGCGATTCTTGTGCGATTCTTCCTTGGAAGCGCAAAATCGCGCTTCTTCCTCAGAAGCGTGAGTCCCTTCCACGATTCCTGCTACTAAGCTTCGAATGGCATCTAAACCATTTAGGCAATTCTAAAGTGAGCAATTTTGAATTAAGCAATTAAATGCAGGGATTATATATATGTTTCAGCAATGAAACTTTAAACTACTAAATCACTCATAAAAAAGAATGACATTTTATAACAAGAACATGTTAGCTTGCTTTCAAGCAACAGAAAACCAGATGGGAAATTCGACAGAATAAAAAAAAACAAAGAAATTGTGATGCAAAATGGATAAAGAAACAGAGTTTTACGTGTGAAATTAGTTTCAGCATGTATGGCTGCATGCAATCTATTGCTCAATGCATGACAACGCAAAAAGGCACTCCTGATCAATTCCATACATTCATCATAATATGTTACAAAATCTGAAGGAACCCAGCAGAAAAACCAGTAACAGAAGAAACAAATACATAAATAATACAGCAGAAAGGGGGGGGAAGACAAAAAAGAAAAAGAAGACCAGTTGCTAGAAACCTAGAACGGAAAAGAACACAAGGAAGAGCAGAGGAGAAGACTAATTGGAAACAGAGCAAAGTGTGTGAAAAAGGAATCCAACAGGCCAGGCGACTTGAAGACGGAAATAAGGAGAGGAGAGGCTGACCTGGAACCCAGCATAGAAGGGAGGGGCAAAGGGGAAAAAAAAGAAAGGAGACCACGAATAATAGAGAAGATGAAGATGATGAAGAAGAAGATGAGGGATTAACCTGAAACCAGCAGAGGTGAGCAATTCGAACCAGCACAGGTGTTTTTTCAGAGGTCTAACAGCTGTTCTTCCACCAGATTTCCAATTAGGGTTCAGATTTTGCAATATATTGAAAGGCTTTTGATTACAATCCCACAAGTCAATTAAATTAACGGTCGAGATGAAATCAACAAAAAATAAAAAAGTTAACTGAAGCCCACTAAGCATGCATCTTGTGCCAAGCCCAAAGGTGAACACCTCCAGCAGCTAGCCTCACCTCAATGGTCTTAAGGTGTTATGACTAAGCCTTGCATCTAAGGTGCACCTTATACAACACTGACTAATCCTACATTGGTCAATAAAGATTTGGAGAAAATATTAGCAGTATAGCATTAAGAGAAAACTTGCTATGGTTATCCAGCCATATACAAAAGGCAGGTGGACTTTAGGCAGGCCGGTTTAGTACTGAGACCACTTTTTACAAGCCCAGACACTCAAATATGCAGGGAATACTTCTAAAATATAACTTTCCAGCATGGGGCGGCACCATCTCAATCTACAAGGATCTAGCATTTAATAAAAGGATTCCCACAGACAAAGAGATAAAAATAACAAATCAAAATAGAATCTGTTATTTAATCAATGGAGAAATAGAGTGTGTTATTCCTCCACTAACCACAATATGACTGTAATAGTAATCACACAAGTAGGAAAATAGATTATATGAACCCTTGAAAGAAGAGAAAAATGAAAAAGAATGCAAACACTTAATACCCTAACCTCTTTCAATGAATTAATAAAGCTCCATTTTACACTATCTTCACCTTCACAAGGGATCAAAATATTTGCTGGATATCCTCTAAAATGCACCTGCAAAAAGAAGATACTACAAGTTATTATTTGAAAGAACCAAAAAAATATGTAACAATAGTATTTTTGTTTCCCATTTGAAATTAATGCTTTTATGAATAATTTCATCTAGTAGAGATTAGTTTCATAAAATTTTAACTTGTGGGGAGAAAAAAACTTTAATGTCTCCCTACACTATTTTTTTTTAAATAAGTGTGGAAACTTATAGCATGACACATTTACACGACATCAAACAGACACGAGGCCAAAATGACACGACATAATACCACGCAAAAATAGGGTTAGTATTGAAGGAATTCTAACACAAATCTGAGATGACACGGCAAGAACGCGAGCATGACCAAGACGACATGATTCTCAGCCCTACTGTATTTAAGTGCCACAATGTTGATTATGAACCATAGCAATCATACAAATTATAGTAAATAAGATCAGAAAATGCTTATCAATGAGGGTTTTTTTTTTTGTTTTTTTTTTTTTTTGGCATTTGGGGGGTGGGGGGAACCAATAGTTCGGTTTTCAATCCCCATTTTACAGTGGTTGATATTCCTCATGCCTATTAACCGCAACCGTGACCACTACACTAGCCAATAGCGCAATTTAAAGGAATGGGTCTACAGGCTACTTGGATATCTTACTTGTTTATTTCAATAAATTGCAGTTATAACTTTTATGTTGTCAGCAAACAAGCCCTTTGCCTTGTTTCTCGAGGGCGTAGACTCTATAATTTGGAGCTACTGCTACATAGTAAGCACAGTGATGTTTTATGAGAACTAAAAAGTCTCTCTTCAATTTCAATTTCCAAGACTTAAGAACCACGGACACAGATAACAATTTTTTAATTCTAAAAGAGGAGAATAGGTATAAATTACGTTGTTTTTATTTTATAATTGGATTACAAATTATTTTATTCAATCTTGTAATGTGTTTCATATGTATCTAAACGTTTAGGAAGTGTCCAACGAGTGTCATGTCGACATGTTACCTTCTTAGAAGTGTTTGTGCTTCTTTTTTTTTTTTTTTTTGATAGATCATTAGTGTTTGTGCCTCTTAGTCCAAGACTCTCCTCTCTTCAACTTCAAACACATTTATGAAGTAAGAAGCCCTTCTCTCTCTCCGATTACAACATAATGATGAACTAAGAAGACAAACCCACTTTCTCTAAATTCTTCCTCCCTCCACCCACTCTTGTTGCAATCTCAAATAAACAATGGGCAGTAGTGGTTATTCATAAAGTATTGAGACTGCAACCATGACTGTGCAGCTGAAGATGAAGGAAACTAAAGTATTTAAGGATAAATTTGTTCTTCTGTTCAATCACACAATGCACTTTGAATCATGATAATATGAAAATTTGTATGATACGGATTTGTATTGGGTTACCAACCAATAGGACCATGCGATACATATCTAAATCCTTACAATAGTTATTGTGTATCATATGATTTTGACAACACTAGCACTGCAACACCCAAGTAGCAATTGCAAAGACAACTTAAGAAGTACTTATATTTTCCCTGACAACCAACTATGGCCTCTCTCTTAGATACTTACAATAGTTTCATTAATTAAATATGCTAACAAAAACTAGAGAACAAAAAAAGAAAAATAAAATCATTGGTTTGACTCAAAAAGGTTGCCAAGAGCTATTGAAAAAAACGCACCGTCAGATTCCAAGGTCTTTCAGGTTCTGCACAAAGAAGATCAAAGAGGACTCCTGTTGGTATATACCTGAGAAAAGCACAGATAATGTTAATCAACAAAAGGCAAAAAGTGATATTGAAACTGCAACTAATAGGTATAGGAAGTAATGTATGCATGCACCAACAAATAATATTAGCAATTACAATATTGACAGTTTTTACTTCCACAAATCTTTTAGCAATGCATATTAAGTGTGAAGACTTCCTAGAGGCCCACAACACCATACAATATAATTAACTTGTTTTTTGGTAGTATGAAAAGCTACAAAATATCAGCCAGCATTTTTCCACATATTTGCTTAATATACACCACATGATTGCTTCATCCTACCCTATAAGTTTAACTTGACAAAAGACGAGTTCATTCAACTCACATGCAAAAGTATACCAATCCTTCCCTTCATTTTCTCTCTTTTTTATTCTGCACTCTCCTATTCAGCAACGGAATATTGTTAATATTATTCAGGGTTATCCCTTACATCACTAGGAACACAGCTTCATGTACAGCTTTGCCTTTTGCTAACAATAATTGTAACAAAAACAAAGGTGGCTCATATCATGCAAGAGCAGAATCAATGTTTGAATTAATTTTTCTATTGACTTTTCTAGACATAGTTCTTTGGAAAAGAACTGAACACTTCAAGGAAATGTTAATTTTTTTTTTTTTTTTCTGGCTTTTTAAATAGATTTCAAGTCAGTGCGAATGTTTTCTTATTATTAATAAGAGAAAACTGAAAAGAAAGTACAACGAGATTGATGAGGGTGGATGATTATTGGGCAAAGCAAGAAAAAAGCCTAAGCAATGACTTCTTTGTGACAAGACATGGAGGCCTTCATAACATTTCAATCACTGCTACAATTCTCCTGATGACAACCGCATAACATAGGCCCATCTCATTGAGGAGGCAATGTCTTATCAAGCTGGAAGAAATTCAAAATGGTGGTTGAATTGCTCTACATTTCTACCTCTAATTACTTCACAAGTATTTATTTCTACATTATTTCAATTTAATATATCAATGTTATCACTTGCCAATAAGGCTATTAAGCTTGAATAATACGTACTCTTAGTCTCTAGAGAATAGCTTTATGTTCACCCCCAACTAACTTGGTTGACAATCAAAATAGACATCAAAGAACACATTAATAAACTAAATATAATTAAGTTCTACTCACATGCGGCCCATTCACCCACTGAACAATGATGCTCAAAAATTATGTGTTGGTATTTTTGTGCGTGTTTGTACATGTGTCTATGATACTAGAGCCAGACGCATAAAATAAACTAATTGGGCAGCATAATTAGTGGCTTAGCCATGACATAAATACAAGTATTTGAAAGATGAAAAAAATGAAACCAGTTTTTACTCATAACTTTCTGAGATTTGCACCAGTAGTTCTGGCACCATGATTATGTATACTTTTGCAACTCTAGTCTCCATGGACTACTCTCATCTCTACCAACTTATTTCCATACATGACATGTTTCTCATTGATCAATGCAATTCAATATTCTACGCTATCATAAACAAATAAAAATCAATAATTTTATTTCAAAGTGATAAGATGAAAAGTCATGTATATTTGTAATTATATATCATGGGAAGTGTACCATACCACTTCAGGGGCAACCCTCTATATTCAAACCATACAGTGTCTACACCAGGAGGAAGTGCACTACTGAAGAAAGGTTTAATGTGCGGTACTAACAAAGGCAAGTACCCTATCCGAGGAGCTAAGATCTGAAAACACAGGTAAAAGCAAAAACAAATGCTTAATTACATGAACATATATTATATATTACAAAATAAACGGATACTTCATAGTTGGCATCAGAGTTCATCTCTCATAAGAAAATTCAAAGAAAAAGTGAAGTGCATCTGTCCATAAGTGCATCTGTCCATGACCATGGGATTTACTAGTTTTGTTTATCAATCACACATGTAGAAAATATCTCCCTTGACAGTGCAATTACTAATTAGTAAGATTTTTTTTTTTATAACTGTTTTGCTAATTGATATCTATGTATTCCTTATACATGTCATTTATCATTGATCATACATATACATGATTGCAAAGACATGCACTAAATAAAAAATAATAATAATGATAGATTACGCAAAAAGCAAGAACAATGATAAAATAACATTAGAGAATAACAATGAAGTGAAATTGCAGCATAAAAGTACTGCGTAATAAAAATTCAGAAAACCATATGCAACTACACAGATAAACAATGGTAAATGCAAAAGAGAATGAAGAAAGATATATTAACATGATATGTGAGCTGTAACCAGTCAATGCATAGCTTGGTGCTCCAAAATTTGGGCAAGACTAAATGATTATTCGGGGTTGTAACTGGCTCAAAGGACTTCATGTAAGCTTGTGACACACAACTTATAGGCCATGTTTATTTGGGCGGATTGAATTAGGTTGGATTAACATTCCCATAACTAATAATCCTAAGACTACGAATCTCTTTAGATTGTGTATCATATCCTATGTTTAAATTGAGTTAAGATTATAAGGAAAGATTAACAAAATATTATTCAATCCGATATTTGTTTAAGGGGATTGGAATGGATAGGACATGACAGGGCATGAGACATCTAATATATTGACCTAATACCTCTATTATGGTCATTTGATAAATTAGTCCAGACTTTGAGTTAATCACCCAATTTATATCCCACCCCCTATGTGAGATTGAATAGTACATCATATGTGGGATACCATATCCGGATGGATTGTTAGTCCGTACTTCAATTTTTTAACCAAACATTGGATTAATAATTTTATTGGACTATTAGTCCAATCCCAAGCACATATCCGTCCAAACAAACATGGCCATGCGATACAAGATTCACTCGACTTGGACAGGTCATGCCATGACTCACACCCTCACACATATTGCCATTGACTTGTGATACAAATTGTGCTAAATAGAATTCGACAAATTCCATGTCTTTGGTCACCTCTGATACTTTGGGTTTCATAAATGTCTATTTTTCTTACATCTTAGACACCAAGAAAGACTGAAAAAGGCACCTTCACCCTCTTATCAACATTTTTCCATCCATAATGAAAACTAAAAATTATGGATTAAATTATTAGCAGTCGGGGTGCAGGTCCATTTGCTGAAGTCAATCCTACACTTGAGCTTACATTCGTTTGCAGGTCCATTTGCTGAAGTCAATCCTAAAAATTATGGATTAAATGATCCAACAGTTAGAAAAATATTGGGAGAAGCCATAAGCCTTTAATGAGACCCAGAAGGGAATGTTTCCAGTCATCCCTACAACAAACTAGTATGTTCTCGGAGTTCGATCAGCATCTACTCAAATCAAATCAAATCAAATAAATAAATAAATAAGGAAAAAAAAATAAAGAAAACCCAGCTGATCCAGCTTAAGTAATTTTGGGCTAGATTATTCATATCTACGAACCTCCCACATTAGACCCGGGATTCAAATCATATTAATAGTAGCAATTTAAGGCATAATTGAAACTAAGATCTATAACGTTATACCAAAACCCCATATACAATTAGGGAGGCCAAATAATAGTGCAACTTTGAACTCCTCCAAACCCACTCTTTTGGTCATAGTGTTTTGGCAAATCAAATAGCTTCTTAGTACATCCAAGTGAATGCAAACAAGTTCCTGAATTCTATCAGAGCTAAAGAATTGAAAAGGGGAAAAATAGATGCAAAAAAAAAAAAATGGAGATGCAAAGCAATAAATCAATGACAATCAAGACGAAATCAGACGAAAGGAAAGTTGAGAAGTGTGAACCAGAGCGGGTGGAGGAGGAGGGAGAGTGGTGACTTCGGAATCGTGGAGATGAATCTGCAATGGGATCGCACCTTCCCACACGTACTTCTGTGCTTCCGTTCCTCTATCCATCTCCTCCTTCTCCTCTCCTCCTTTGTTCCTTCCTTCCTAGAGAGAGAGAGAGTGAGAGAGAGAGAGAGAGAATGCGTGGACAGAGAGAGAGAGAGAGAGAGAGAGCTACACGCCACGGTTAACCTTTCTGTGATACGATGCAGTCTACTCTACTCCCTCCCTCTCTACAACAAAATACGGCCCTGGACCGGGAATTTAAACCGGCCAGACTGCCGGTTCTTAAATCACTCGGATGTGGAGTTGACCCGACCGACCGCAAATTCCAGCATTTGCTCGAGGACATTGCTTGCTATTGCCGAGCCACTCTATAAGTTTTTTTTTTTTTTTTTTAAAAAAATATTTATTTATTTATTTAAATGAAAGGTAAACAAACAGAAGTTACATTATTCTTACAATTCAAGAATTAGTCCCTCACAAGACTAACTCCAGCCATGTCATCAATGATTAGAGATCTCATATCTGCAGGTGGGTCTTCTAAAACCACCACATGGTCATCTTGAACTACCCCTAAGTTTGCTAGTTTGTCAGCTACTCCATTGCCCTCTCGAAATGAGTGTTTAATTGAGCAGTTGCAACGTTTCAGGAGAAACTTGGTGTCTTCAATGAGAGCCTTATAAGGTGAGTAATGGCTTGGTCCATCCTGGATTTGTGTGATAGCTTAGGCAGAATCAGTTTCAATAGTCACATTCATTGTGCCTTTTTGAAAGAGAATGACGAGTCCCTTGTATATGCCCCATAATTCAGCTTCTAGACTGGTGCAGTGGCCTAGTTTACCATGGTATCCCCATAGCATCCACATATCCAAGTTCCAGTTTTCATCCCTCAACAGTCCTCCATACCTAGTTTGGCCTGGGTCACCTTTTAAGCATCCATTTGTGTTGAGTTTGAGTTGACCTGCAAGTGGAAAACACCAATGAATTAGTCTAGGATGAGAGGGGTTGGGGTGGAGAGGGGAGTGGAAAGCCTGTTCAATCTCTTGAACATAAGTCCTTATGCTCTTAAGACTGATTTGAATGGGTACCAAAATGTTGTAAAAAACTGAAGAATTACGCTTCTTCCAAATCTGCCAAAAAGTGACAGTAAATATGAGGGGCCATTTAGAACCACAAAGCAACATTTTATTTTTCAAATTAGATGATACCCATTCAAACACAAGTTGACCACATCCTTGCTCCCACCAGATATGATTGGTGATTTCAGTCCAGATAGCTTTAGAAATGAGGCAATCTCTGAAAAGGTGACTCGTATCCTTACTAAACAGCCTGCATCGAGGGCAAAGATCACATGATGCCATGTTTCTCAAAAGTTTCAAGTGGTTGGTAGGTAATCTGCCCTTTAAAATAAGCCAGAGAAAACATTTTAATTTCTGGGGAAATTGTAATTTCCAGATCCATTTCCAATCTCTACCATCACCTACTTGGGCAGTGATAGCCTTGTAAGCAGAAACAGTGGTAAAAAGACCATTAGTTGATCCATTCTAGGAGGGGGCATATGGATAAGTCACAAATCTGGGCCTATAGATCTTTATGATCTATTTGAGGTCCTATTGGTTCACGAGGTTGGCAAGAGTATCAGTGTCCCAATTCCCTTCATCATTTAGAACACTGCTGACCTTGGTTAAAACATTAGTATGAGTGAGATTATAATTATTGGCCAGTGGCTGTGTGCCACACCACCAGTCATTCCAAAAAGAGATGGTATCACCATTGCCTATTCTCCACTTAAAACAGTTTCTGAGGGTATCTCTGGTGTGGCAGATACTTTTCTAGATATGGGATGAAGTCTGCTTATGGGGGCCAGCTAAATAAAGAATGGTTTTTAGATATTTGGATTGAAAAATTTGGCACCAGAGTTTATTATTGTCACTCAGTAAAGTCCACCCAAGTTTGGTGAGAAGGCCTGAATTTTGTTCTCTAATTTTTCTAATGCCAAGACCACCATCCTCTTTACTTTTCCAAACATTGTCCCAGTTGACAAGATATATTTTCCTTTTATACTCAGTATCGCCCCATAGAAAATGCAGGATTAATTTTATATATTTCATCACAAACTTTCTTAGGGAGTTCCATGGTTTGCATATTGTAGAAAGGGATAGCAGAGGTAAATGACTGAATGAAAGTAAGCCTACCTGCAAGGGAGAGGTTTTTAGTTTTCCAACCTGATAATCTAGACTTTAGCTTCTTGAGGACATCATTGAAAATATGTTTGCTAAGCCTTGTGTGAAAGAGGGAAGATCCCAAATACTTACCAAGATCTTGAGTAAGAGGAATACCACACTGGTTAGAGACCTGGCTTGGGTAGAAGGGATGTTAGGAGAAACAAAGATTTTGGACTTCAAGTGATTAATTTTCTGACCATAAATCTGACAGAAGTCATTAAGGACAGCCATAATAGTTTCACAGTTGGGGTGGTCAGCTTTAGCAAATAAAATAAGGTCATCAGTGAAAAATAAGTGGGATAGAGGAGGGCTATTCCTAGAAACCTAGATACCATGCCAAGATCCCTCACTCACTTTAAGGTTTATCATGTTGGATAACCTTTCCATACAAAGCACAAAAATGTAAAGTGATTGGGGATCACCTTGTCTAAGCCCTCGCTCAATAAGAATACCATCCAGAATTTCACCATTCCAGAGAATATAAGATTTGGTATTAATAATACAACACATAATCAAATCCACCCATTGTTCATTGAGTTTAAATTCATATAAAGTATCCCTAATGAAGTCCCATCAGAGTCTTTCACAGGCCTTTTCCAAATCAATTTTAAAAATCGTACCTTCCTTCCTATCTTTTTTGTTTCTCAAAGTGTGAAGGATCTCCTGGGTGATAATAATGTTATCAGTAGTGTTTCTTCTAGGTATGAAACTACTTTGATTTGGGCATGTGATTTTATCAATGAGGGGTCTAATCCTACCCACAATAAGCTTAGTAACGATTTTGTATGAGACATTACAAAGGCTAATGGGTCTAAATTGTTTAATGTTCTCAGGATTTTCAACTTTGGGGATTAACACAATTAAGGTCTCATTAATAGTACTGGGGATGTTGGTTCTATGGAAACAATCCATGACAAAATCACAAACAAACTTACCCACAGCATGCCAATACTTATGGTAAAAGATGGTTTGCATACCATCATTTCCTGGTGCTTTGAAGGGACCAATATTCTTAACAGCTCGCAAAATTTCAGAATTGGAGATTGGTTTGAGGAAATCAACATTATCCTCAGTGGTAAAATAGTTGGGAGCAATATTCCAATGGTTAAGAATGTGAATGTCAGTTTTCTTGAAAAGGTCAGAGAAATAGCTTAAGATAATGGATTTGATTCCTTCTATCTCAGTTATCCAGTTGCCATTTGAATCTTTAAGGGCATTAATTTTTAGTTTCCTCCTATTATTTATGGTAGAAACATGGAAGAATCTGGTGTTTTTATCTCCAAGGGATAAATATTTAGAGCGAGATTTTTGAAACCAAAGCATTTCCTCTTGCAAAAGAGTAACATTATATTGATTGATGAGGTCCTTTTCTAAGGCCTGTAAACTGTGAGAGAAAATAGTAGTTTGGGCTCTTTGGATGCCTTCAATTCTAGCAAGCAAAAGTCTCTTTCCGTTTAAAAATGTTACCAAAAACTTCTTTGTTCCACACTGACACTCTGAGAGTGAATTCAGTTGTGGACTCAAGCAGGTTATTGTTCATATCATGCCAGGAGGAACTAATCACATCTAAAAGACCAGTGTGGGACATCCAAATAGCTTCAAACCTAAAAGGTCTACGAATGGGATGTAGAGAATGCATATCTTGAGTATGGACTATCAATAGAGAGTGGTTTGAATATGTTCGAGGGAGCACTTGGACAGTTGCTTCAGGGAACATTATCCTCCAATCTTCATTGCACATAGCTCTATCAAGCCTTTCCATGATATTGACAAGGCCTTGTCTATTGTTCGTCCATGTCACTTGGGGCCAGTGCTACCCAAGTTTAACAAATTGCAGTTGTTCACCCTATCAAGGAATTTCTGGGTCCTCCTAGAGTTATGGTTTGGGGAGAAACTTCTTCTCTCATTCTGGCTACCATAGTCATTGAAATCCCCAGCCATCAACCAGGGTTTTTCCATGTTGTGTGCAACAGACTTGAGATCATCCCATAAAGTGTCTCTAAGGGAGGGGTTTGGGCAAGCATAAACCGCTGCCAGAACCCATCCCTCATAGTCCTCTTTATGGACAGTGATGTGGATGGCTTGGGAGCTGACTAATGAAGCTCTAACGTTAACATGGCTGGTGTTCCAAACAATCCAAATACCACTAGATCTGCCAATGGGATCAACAAACGTAGACACAGTGAAACCTAACCTGTTGAAGAAGTTTCCCATAGTACTAAAGGCCACCTTCGTTTCCATCAAGGTCAGGATTTCCGGTTTATGAACGCGAATAATCTCAACAAGGTTACGTTTGAAAGTGTTGTTGCTGGCACAGCAACAGTTCCAAATAAGAAGTTTTAACAAATCCATAGAGGGATAGTGAAGTGGTGTATCTGTTACCAGGTCCTTAACGATGCTACGAATGTGTCGATGATCGTCCTCTACAAACCTCATGGACACCATCTAGATCGAGATAGTTGGTTTCACTAGAGTGCTTTCCCAATTTTTCTCTATGTTCAATCGAATTTGCTCGATCTACCAAGCAAAAGCGACGAGGTGAGTTGCTTTGTTCTCGGGATCTAATAATAGGCCCACTTCCGGTGCTCTTGCACTTCCATCGTCGGCGAGTCTGGTTTGGTGCTCCCTAGTAACTGGTTGTGTGCAACAGACTTGAGATCATCCCATAAAGTGTCTCAGGGGTTTGGGCAAGCATAAACCGCTGCCAGAACCCATTCCTCATAGTCCTTTTTATGGACAGTGATGTGGATGGCTTGGGAGCTGACTGATGAAGCTCTAACGTTAACATGGCTGGTGTTCCAAACAATCCAAATACCACTAGATCTGCCAATGGGATCAACAAACGTAGATGCAGTGAAACCCAACCTGTTGAAGAAGTTTCCCATAGTACTAAAGGCCACCTTCGTTTCCATCTAGGTCAGGATTTCCGGTTTATGAACGCGAATAATCTCAACAAGGTTACATTTGAAAGTGTTGTTGCTGGCACAGCAACAGTTCCAAATAAGAAGTTTTAACAAATCCATAGAGGGATAGTGAAGTGGTGTATCTGTTACCAGGTCCTTAACGATGCTACGAATGTGTCGATGATCGTCCTCTACAGACCTCATAGACACCATCTGGATCGAGATAGTTGGTTTCACTAGAGTGCTTTCCCAATTTGTCTCTATGTTCAATTGAATTTGCTCGATCTACCAAGCAAAAGCGACGAGGTGAGTTGCTTTGTTCTCGGGATCTAGCAATAGGCCCACTTCCGGTGCTCTTGCACTTCCATCGTCGGTGAGTCTGGTTTGGTGCTTCCTATTAACTCCATTAGTGAGAGGTCCTGGGTTTGGTGGTTTTGGTTCTTGCCTCCACGCTTTCTCAGTAAAGTTGTTAACTTGGGTTATGAAAGTTGGGTTCTTAGTGAGGCGTCCATGATAGTGTATTCGGTCATGGTTGAATCTGTTGGTTGTGGTGGTTTTGTCGAGGTGAAAATCATGTCAGGTGGCTCTTATGAGGAGTTGATTTCACTGCTACAGCTAGCGTTACTCTTCTGTACATCATCACGTGCTACTGAGCTTAGCTCAGGGAATTGTTGGGAGGAGCTGGCTTCTAGGGTTTTCAGAATAAGTTGAGAGTTAGAGTTAGGTTCTGTATCCATGGGTTTAGGATGGACTGGGCCAATTCTAGCCTTACCTCTACTGTCAATGGCTAGAGTTGGGCCTGATTGGGTGGTGGGCTCTTGATCTGCCATTGGTGTAGAACTTAGGTTGCTTCTTCCTTTGATATGTTCCTCGTGTTACATATGGTCCAGTTCAAGATATTTAAATTTGTTGGGCTTTGAAGATGGACTTATGAGGTCTGCGGATTTATTTGTCTGGGTTGGTCTACGAGTGTGTTTGGTGACTAACATCCATAGACCAAATTCAACCTCATCTTTTCTGGTCGGATGCAGGTTAACGTTGTTGGGTGTGGTTTGTGTGATGTTGACTGCTTCATCAGAAACGGCTAGTTTGGTTGTCGACGATGAAATATTTGGGGCCTTGAAACGACAAGCTTCTTTTCAATGGTCGATTCTGCCACATAGAAAACAGAAAGAACATAGTGATTCATACTCAATAATGTAGTACTTTTCCTCAAGGATGAATTTAGGCCACAGTGGTTTGCTGAGATCAACTTCAATGCACATTCTGGCAAATTTCCCCCGGTAGCCATAGCCGTTGTCCAGTCAATTTTGAGCGGTTTTCCTATAGCTTTGGCAACTGCAAACAAGACTTTATCCCAGTAATATTCAATCGAAAGCTCCAGAAACCGAACTCATACTGCGGTTGTGGTTTCAAAAGCTTCCGATGGTTTGAAGTTAGGCTCCTACCGTCTAACCGTGAGGTAATGATCCATTATCACCCATGGTCCTCCAGTGTACACCTCAGTATAGTCCTCTGGTTCAGAGAACTGGAAGAGAAAATAATTACTCCCCAAATCTATGGCGTTAAACTCCCCAAGGAGGCCCCAAAGGTTCTTTACCCTAGAGTAGAGCATTTTGTATCCAATATTTTTACCCAGTAATCTGATAATTAGTGTGTTTTTCCACGGCTTTCTAATCTTATCCAACAATTTCCTTGGGAGTGGGACTTTGGGGATGCCCATGTGTTCTGAGAGGGTATTCTCGACTGATGAGTGGTGATCATCATCATTTTCATCAGAGGAGAGAATGTCCACTCTATTGTCAAACAAGTAGTCACCGTGTTTAGCTGTGTTCAGGGCCTCCTTGAACGATTTGGGAGAGGGGGGGAGTCGCTTTCAAGGGAGGCTCTTGCAAGTTACGTGTTACTGTGGAGACTTCAGTTTCCATATTGATCACCTGCACCATTGCTTCATGGGCCAGGGAGGTAGAGCTTTTAATTTTCTTGGTACTTCTAGTGAGATAGTCTTGTTCTTCGGATGATTTTTCCAGCCCAGCGTGGGTAGATTGACTGGAGGAGTTGACGACAGTAGTTGACATCGGAGCTAGATCTCTCTCTCTGGATAAACAAGACAAATGCTAAAATCCAAAAATAGATACCTATAAGGTGTTTGTTTGGCAACACCTCTCTCTGAATAAAAGTCACTTCCGTTTACTCTTTTTTTTTTTTTTTTTTTTTTTTTTTTACTTTTCTATTCATCTAATCTAAAAATTAAAAAAAATTTGAAAATTTAAATTAAGTTTAAAAAATTCACTATTTTTACTTAAGTGCCGCATGTTATTGGAATTGTATTAGCTAAGAGTCATACTTTGATTAGGGTTTAACCAATGTTATATACGTGAAAATTTTATGCTACACACGGCCTCTAAAGTAAGTATTATATGCATCTTTAGTCATAATATTTGAATAAATGGCTATGATTTACTTGTGTTATTAGTTAAGATATATTGTGATATTAAGTATGACAAAACGATTATTTAGTGGTATTTTGAGAAGTTAGTAAAAAATTTTAATTTTTTGACTTTTTTATCAAAAAAATTAGATTATTTTGGATAAAAATTTTGACTTTTTTGACCAAAAAAATAAAAAAAGTCAAAAAATTGATTTTTTTAACCTCTTCCCAAACTATCCCTTACTATGTAATATTCAATTAATTGACTATAATATTTCCGTACAACTTTTTTTTTTTTTTTTTGGTTGGGAAATTCCATATAACTTAGACTAAGGCCTCGTTTGGAAACCAGTCAATTTAGCTAAAAAGTCAAAAAATTACTAAAAAAGTCAAAAAGTTAACAATTCATACCAAAAAACCAACAACTCATATCAAAAAGTCAAAAATTTTTATTTCTCTTTACTTTTTACGCATCTTTTTATAAAATATCAAAAAATTATCCCCAACATATTAACTTTTTTAAGCCCATATTTTAATCAAAAAATTAAAAAATTACTAAATTAGCCTGCGCTCGAACAAGGCCAAACACTATCTGTCATTCACTTCCATTCATACATGCGGAGTAAACATGGCTTAACTTGACAAAACGCGTTCATTTGCTCTCTAGCATTAGCAAAGGAAGAACTCGAGCGGCTGATCATCATCACCGTCTCTCTGTCTCTGTCTCTGTCTCTGTCTCTTTCAGTTTTTGTTACGCCATAACCATCACTCCCACCACACTCCCTTGATTAACAAGCCACACTTGCCAACAAACCCAACCCTAACCCTAATCTCCCCCCACCCCAAAAAAAAGAAAAAACAATCCTGTTCCATAGTTGCTGTTAATCAAAATTTGGTTCCCTCAAAAAATGTTCCACTGATCAAGAAAAAGAGATTGAGAGATGTTTGGGGCCGTCCAATTGGGAGTATTGGCGGCGTGTGTTGTCCTCTTCGTGCCGATGGGGATGGCCGGTTGGCACCTCAGCCGCAACAAAATGCTCTTCTTCAGCGGAGCCCTCTTCATCACCCTAGCGGTAGGTGTCCATCTCACTCCCTACTTCCCTTCAATTTCCACCTTTGTTTCCTCCGTAGTTGTACTCCAAAACCGTGACTCTTGTGTTTCTTTACTCCATGACATTGTATTCCATGTCAAACCTCTTGACCATTTTCAAAATTTTACCATTCTTGGGGGTTCTTGGTCCTGGTCAAACTCTGCCCCTGTTGTTTCCTGTGACTTTCAGAAATTGGGTCGCTCCGATGCCTCCGATCTGCTCAATGGATCGTGGGTTGTTGTTGCCGGGGACTCCCAGGCTCGCTTGTTTGTAGTTTCTTTGTTGGGTTTGGTTTTTGGCTCTGAAGAGATGGATTCGGTCCGGGCTCAGCTTTTCAAGAGGCACAGTGATTATCATATTGTCGTTGATCAGATTGGAATGAAGTTGGATTTTGTCTGGGCGCCTTACGTCACCAATTTAACTCATTTGATGATGGATTTTAAGCAAGAAAATAACTACCCGGATGTTTTGTTGATGGGGGCAGGGTTGTGGCATATGCTACATGTCACTAATTCTTCAGATTATGGTGTTTCGTTACGGTTATTGAGGAATTCAGTGGTCTCGTTTCTCCCAATTTCTCCGGAATTTGGAAATGATGGGCCTGTGACTGGTTCCGTTTCAATAAGATCGCCTCATATATTTTGGATAGGCATGCCAGTACTGATAAGCTCAATGTTGAATACTGAGGAGAAGAGGATGAAGATGAATGATGCAATGTGGAGTGATTATGATAAAGAGCTTTATAGAAGTAAGCTCTTGCGCCAATCTGGTGGCCCTCTTTTGTCATTGGATATTCAGTCTTTGAGTGAGAAATGTGGAAAACAGTGTACAGTGGATGGGATGCATTATGATAGGATTGTTTATGAAGCCGCCATCCATATCATGCTGAATGCATTGCTTATTGAGTCTCATCAAAAGCTATGATGTAATACTTTTTAATTTCTTCTTGGATCTCTGAGGCACCACCTCTTTTGGAGGACATAAATGGGCTTCCTATCAAAGTCATTGCTTGAGGTTGCTTCAATCCTGCATACGTTAATTTTTTACAAGGTTCTTCTCCCCTTGGCTGCAGTTAACACTTGGTAGTGAAATTTTTTTGATAGTAGTTTCAGGCACATTTTTTGTTTCACTCTTTAAAATATGTATGAATATCGGATACTCACACAACTTGTATTGTAGTCAAAGAGCTGCTCATGTCTCACATCCAATTCTGATGTGAACATATACGAAAGTTATGTATGAATATCTTGATAGATGCTTTGTTGTTTCCAAAAAAGCCATTTTGCATCATTCATGCATGGTTAGACAGTATTCCATTTTAAGATTTTGATTGTAGATTCTCAAAAAAACAAAAGAAAAGAAAAAGAAGCCGATAGAGTTGAAAAATGTCACACTTCTGCAATTTTTTTATTTTTTTTTGGGGTCTTGTTTTTCATTTCTTCACAAGAAAATCAATATTGCACTAGATAGTAGAAAAGAAAGCAAAATAATCCATTCCAGTGATGTACAAGTACATCTATTGTACACTTGGTTCCTATTGGAATAACCTTTTTTTAGTGATATAAAGTATGCTTTGTATTATTATCACATATTGCTTGAAGGTCTGTTTCCACCTTTTGTTATTTTTCTTTTCATGTATATTCAAATTTGATGCAGCAGACAACTGATTGGTGGGCTTGGTGTAAAAGCTGTTCAATGCATCCTGTACTGCTTACTATTGACATGCAAAACCTCAAGCCAAACCCATCAGATCTTGAGGTTTATTCTGAAACTTTTCCAACAACTTGAGATCTTATTAAAAAATAAATAAATAGAACATAAGTCAATATAAAATGTCAAAAAATATTTAAGATGGTTATTGAACTGGTTTGAGGTTGATTTACTGGAATCTGTTTTAAGTTGTCTGGTTTAAGGGTTTGACTTAGATTTCATGCTTTGTGCAATGTCTCTGGTCTATGTATAAATATTTGCAATTATTATAATGTTCTGCCAGTGGCACACTCATCATATAGTCTAGATCAGCCTGGGTGATCTTACCAATTTTCAAGGTGACCAGATGTTGTATGATGTACACCTATAATGTATAACTATTAGACATTCCAGAATTACTGATTACATTCAAAGGAGGGTGTGTAGGTTTTTCAGAAATACACTTGTCTAATGATTGAAATTTGTCCCTCTTTATTCTAAATCCATGGATCTGTAAATGGCTTTGTTGACTTTTAGCAAAGAGGGAAGATAATCGGTGAGTGTTTTTTAGAAATACCCTCCTTGAAAATGCTTTTGCTTTGTCTATTATCCGTTTTCTATTTGTCTCTTATTCCTTTTCCCATGTTAGTTCTAGCATGGAGGGAGGATTCCTGATGTAGAGTGTGGAAGGGAAGAGAGGGAGTAATTTAGAATTTCACAAACACAATCTGGTTTGACTTGTTTAGGATCAATTTGGACTAATTTGTCTATGTTTTACTAAGTTTTAGACATGGACCATAGGGCTCACCCATGGGTTGTATGAAGTTTCTAGTTATGTTTTGAGATTTCATATATGGTTCTCTAGTTTGCATATATATATATATATATATGTTGAGTGTCTTAGTTTCTTAATTTTGAAGTCAAAATTCAAGTAGAATTAGGAGAAACAACACCTTATAAATATTTATGTACTTTTTGTAATATGTGAAGCTTTTAAAGCTTTCTGTGTGATGATATTTGCAGACTTACCATAGGGATCTTTTTTTTCATTTTTCCTTAAAGGAGTTGTAAGACGAGCAATAAATGACACAAAGAAGGAATTGATGTAGAAGAGTTTTTGGAAACTTGCCCAAGTGTTGCCTATAATTAGAGTTGTGCTGAGTTTTGGGTTGGAAAAGATTGTATGGTTACGGTTTTAACTGGTAGGTAGAAGACAGAATTTATGATTTGGCAAGGAAGAAGGCTGGAATTTGGCTTGATTTTTGAAATGGCAGATTATGGGATTTCTGAAATATTAGTTGCAAGAATTCTCTGAACAACCAGAGTTTTGATTTAGGTGCTAATTCAAAGGTACAAAGGTAGGGGAAGGGTAAGGTTGATTGGGCACGATTGAGTATGGTGTTGGGACTGAAAAGTCTACTAACCGAAAATTAGAGTTTAAGAAGGAAAAAGAATAGGTTAAGGATGGATGTTCGGTTGAGGACAATATATTGTTTAAGAAGCCAAGTAGTGCTTTCTTTGTCTTCATGGAAAAATGTAGGAGGGAGTTAAAGGAGAAGTGTTCAGATATCACTGCAGTTGTGGCTATTGATGAAGCTGGGGAAGATAAGTGGAAATCGATGTTTGAAGCTGATAAGGGACCTTTTGTGAAGTTAATGCAATATTGAATTTTTTTAATAGATAGGAGTGTTTTTTTGAGGAGTGTTGACTTTATCTTTTGTACATCTTTTTCTTCTTTTCTTCTCTCTTTTTTTTTCTTGATTGTATAAGGTTTTGGCCCCCTCGATACATTGGAGGAAGTTTGTGGAACACACTAGCCTGAAGGTAGAAGACAACCCTAACTTTCAATCTTGGATTTACATTCACAAGGTGTATATGAGAGTATAAAGAAGTATAAATCCTCTTGGAGTCTTCATCTCATCAAGAATCCCCAATAGGGGAGAATTAGAGTATAAATAGACAGTCTCAATTGTCAAATAACTGGTTCTTTGAAACCAGCCCACTTTTAGAGCTAGCTTTTTGGAATTTTATTTTGGTTGGCCCATGCACGTGTGAATAACCATTTGGATTGCCCCACAAAGATATTTTGGCCGTCCCACAAGTGGATCTGATAGACAACCTAACCTTGGATCTTACCTGGTCAGATAACCAAAAAAAAGGATCCTATGTGCTCCGCCATTCTATTTAGCTTGGTTGATCAACCTTTCAAGTTGGTTGACCAAGATGACTAAATGAACAGTGTAGTCCTTCGAGGACTTCCTGATCCCGGTCTTATCCAAGACAAATTTGCCATTCTATTTAGCTTGGTCGATCAACCTTTCAAGTTGGTTGACCAAGATGACTAAATGAACAGTGTAGTCCTTCGAGGACTTCCTGATCCCGGCCTTATCCAAGACAAATTTGATGCCCTGATGAATCTCTCCCATAGCATCTTCCATGCCAATGAAGCTCTTCCATAGCAGCTATGACATGCTTCCAAGGCTCTAAGGTAGGCTTGTCCAATGTGCCTTATCCAAACGTTTGTGGCTTGAGCTCTCCCTGCGGTGCACATTACGTTACGTAGTCCTGAAATTGCTAACCTATGCTAGTTTTAATACCAACTCAAATTTAAAAGCCTAGAAGGACAGCATTTTGGTGCAGCATTCTGATTTTTAATCCAATTTACGGGTGTTCATCTATAGAATGAGTTTTTTACATACATTACAAAGAAGAGTGAGGGATCCGATGTATGATGTTGACAGATCTTTTAAGGAAGAGTGATGGAGGAACTGAATTGGTCATTGGGTTAGATTCATTGTTTGGTTTGGTTATAGGGTAATACATCATGTTCTTTAAATTTTGATTACAGTTGACATTGTTGTTGTGGTGGTGGTGGTGGGTGGTAGTGCCCAAAGAGCGAAAGCCAGAGATGGAGTAAGGGCCACGCAACAAAGCCTGGATCCACCTCAAAATTGGATTGGAATACTTTGAAGTCATTCTCTTTTCCCTTTGTGTTTTTGTTTTGCTGGTTTCAACTGATTGTTGGGGGATTAGTACGTTGATGTTTTCTCAATCTCGATTAATGCCCGTCAGGTGTGTGTGTGTGTGTTTGAAAGAAGATGCAAGGTGCTTTTCCAGTGTGAACTTTGACAGGAGGTATAACAAGAATTTTTTTTCATTTTCTTGAAGAAATATCAGGTTTTCAATTTTGATTAGGCAGATCAGATGCTTTATGTGAAGGATTTTGTTATGCCCATTTTCAGTTGTTAAAAAAAGGGGAGGGGGGAGTTCAAAATTTGATTAGCATACATGACTTGGTATCTCATTATGTAGAACGTGGGTGATGGGTTGGTTTCAGATTACGGGATGTTTTGGGAAGATGATTAAAAATTATTTTTTTGACTGTCTTGTGAGAGAGGAAAGTGGGTTAAAAATTGAGAAGTGCCTTTTAACCTACTTCCTAAAATAGCATAGTAATAATCTTAAAGAGGTTTCTAGGATTGGAAAGTGTCGCTTGAAAAGTTGGACAAAGATCTATAGTCCTTTTAAAAGTACAATGGGTTCTCTCTCTCTCTCTTGACATCGGAGGCTATAGCCTTCAGAGGGCAAAGTCTTGCCTTTGCCAAATTTTAATATTGTAGCGACAATTCTCTCGTTTTTCGACACCTAGCCTTAGGGAGGGCAAAGTCTTGCGTTCCCCATTTTTTAATCTTGTATTGAATTGCAACAATATTGACCAATCAAATTAGTCCCATTGATTGTAAATGGCCCTCTTTACCTCCTCCATGTAGAGAATCAAAAGATCAAAGATCCAACCAAGTACTATATGGTGGAACCCTATTAAAACATGGATCAATGCTAAAATTTTGAGGGAATCAGATTTTCAGAACCAAATCTTGCAATTTGGCTGATTTTAAAAAGTCAATAACAAACCATCAAAGATCAGAATTTGATTAATAATGGCAATTATTATTCTCAGAAACTCGATAACAAATCAATCTTATCGGATGTCCCCGAAGGGACGATAACAAATCAATACAAAGTATGAAGGAGCACACACGAAAATCTCTCACAAACTATGTGCTTTTTAAGCAACTAATCAAACATTTCAAACCATAAATTTCCTAAGACACTGTAAAAAATCCTTTGATACCCCGCATTTCAACTCGTATTTGTTTGTACACAATCGACAGAGTAATAATGGCAATATGTTGCAATGTCTTTAATAACATGCTCGTCTTTCATATATAAAACCCAACAAATTGCTAAATTGGTTTAATCTTTCAATACAAAAAAAACACGGTACAACTTTAACACCGATTCACAGGTTTGTTTTGTCATATACCCATATGAACACCGTCCACATGTACCAGGATAGTCAAAAAAAAAAAAAAAAAAAAAAAAAAAAAAAAAAAAAAAAACAAAAAAAAAAAGAAAAAAAAAAAAAAAAAAACAGAAAGGAATCTTTTAAAAAAAAAAAAAAAAAAAAAGCAAAGAAACCAAGACAGAAGAATCAAACTTTTCTTTAAAAACAAAAGACTTTTCCAGATGTCAGATTAATCATTGAATTTTCACAATAATATTTTGCTTGCGAGGAAAAAGGACAACCAAAATAAAATTAAAAAAAAAAAATCAACTAAACCCTATGTAGAAATGTAAAGAATGACAAAATCAAAGGGCTTGTTGATTTTTTTTTTTAAAAAGAATTTTGGATGACAAAATCATATTAAACATCAACCTGGGAAAATCTTTTAAAAACTCATATAAAATATTAATAAAAGTCATTTGAAAAAATCATGACCTTATCTTTAATTTCACACTATCATCTTGAAATAAATTATAACCTGGGTAAATCATTTCAAAATGGAGACTTTTGGCATTTAAACCCTGTTTGGTAGAGTTGTGGAAAAGTTATTATAATTTATAGCCTAACAACTTATAACTTATAACTGTGTACATAAGCTGATTTTTGACTTATAAATTAAATTTTTCCTCCCCCACTCAAAGAATAAGTCAATTTTTGACTTACAAAAAGCTATAAGCTGTATTGTTAAGTTGAACCAAACACATCAAAATAGCTTAAATTAAACTAAAAACTGAAATAAACCCTACCAAACAAGCCCTTAGTTTCTTTGCTTACCTGATGATTTTAAGTATGACTTGACATATCTAACTTTCCCTTACCCACATTAGACTCACAACACAAGAAAAAAGACCCACCAATCCAATCCAACACAAACCCTATATTCCAACCCAATCAAAAAGGAAAATTAAGGATAAACGGGTTGTTCTCAATTTTTTAAGACTGGAATTGCTTGCCTTCAAAAGTTTGCCCAAAATTCCAATTTTTTGGGGCAACATTGTAAGATGTAAGTGTGACCCCATCACTGCTAGTGACTTCAAATGAAAGAGGCTGATTCTTCAAATCAGCATTTATATGCCAGTTTTGGCCCCAATTTCTGCCCATGGGTAGCCATCCTGTTCTTGAACCCTTAACCTTCACCGCCACTATGTCTCCAGCACCGGCAACATTACTGATCAGCACTGACAGGAATATTCCTGAACCTTCAATTGCAAATCGAACTCCTCCTTCCTTTCTGCATTTAATCCTGTCCAAAACCCATTCCATCAAATAAGACACCCCCAAAAAAAATTCTATGAAGATGAAGAACATTGAAACAAACCCACTATTGCACTTGCATAATGAATAGAATATAAGGAAAAGGAAATGAAACAATCAAAGTCCAGTAACAAGCAAGTCGTCTCTTATTTTCCATGATCAAAACACTGCGAAAAGAAAAATAAATAAATAAAGGGTAATACCATAAAAAATCTATATAGAATGATGTGGTTCATTTATAGTCATACATTCGAAATCAAGGGGCTCACCAGTGAGTCATAAATGTCATTGCCACATCCCCATGTACAACATTTTTGTATGAAATTTTTGTATGTTTAACAATTAGAAGATACTACAAAAACACATATCCTGTCATTCTCTGCCCCCCATCCCCCATTTTCCATCAGAAAATAAAAGGAAAACTACATGCGCCAAAGCAACAAAACTTGATGGAAATAAATATGAAATCTAACTTTGGTTAGGGAGCACCATCATAGTAAAGCACTGTGGTATTTAACAAAAGTTATTAATGTTCACAACTAGATCCATATAGTGCGAAAATTCTCTCAGATGAACTAATCCATGCAAACAGCTTAGTTAATTGAGAAAAAAGCAAAAACAATTTATGTATTAGCCTACCGATTACTGAAGAATCTGGAACTGAGAAACAGTCCCCAGATGAATGCCCTATACTTGGCAGAGTTCTGATTGTTAATCTGGTACTCTGGGATAAAGAAGAAACCAATTGAAAAACTTTCCCCCCAGTGCAAAAATATAGTTCATTCCTCCACACCAATTGCAAGGTTGCCTTTGTTATCACTCTTACTTCAAGGATATAACCTCCAAACGCCAACCTATGGGGGATTGGTGTTGATGAGTATAGGCCCACGGGGACCAACCTGGTTGGTCAACCCAGATGCACATGGGCCGACCCAGCTAGCTCAACCCATTTGAGGCCCAACCCGAGCCTATTGATCCCCTCGGTTGGCCAACTAGACTTGGGGACCAAGTTGGATGACCTCAAACATGCAGCAGACCTCCACTGCCCTCACAACTGGACATAGTGCAGGCATAATAGCACAGACACACGGAAGACAAACCGTGTTCTCTGCTTCTCCCACCCTGCCACCTGAAACTGCAAGCGTACCACCGTGCACGTCCCAAGAATGATGGGCCACGTGGAACTCCTTGGAAGGGGGAGGGTACAACTCAAGCACACTCCACCCATGGCAGGAAAGAATATACATACAACCAGAATATACACCCTAGGTAGCTATCTCATTCTCATCTCTTACATTCCTCCATTGCTCTCTACCTTCGAGAGAACTAACTTGTTCATCGGAAGGCCCTTGAGAAGGACATCCACCGGTGAGTTCTTAAGAGTTTTGCTTACAGGTCAACACCAGCTGACCTGAGTCCGACCACCCAGCTCCGCCAGCTCGTGGATCCAGTGATCGCTATAGACCCACCGTACAATGATTGATATCAGTTGTCATTAACAGATTCAGATGGATTAAAAAGTCTAATTGGTTGACAAATCCTAAAGCTATTCTACAGGATAGAAGTTATAACCATTAATTTTACAGAGAGGGAGAAATGTCACTTATCTTTATGGAATAGGTAAATTACACTAACACCAGCTCAGATTTCTGACAATTATAGAGACACCCCCTTAATTTTCTGAAATTACAATAACACCTCTTACTTTACCTGACAGACACTATATAGAAACACCCCCTCCGTTAACTATACAATAGAAGGATGAAAAAGGTTGACCGTTGACGTCATCATCAAGTTTTAATATGACAATTTTAGTTAAAATTAACCTTATTCACATTTAAATAAATATAATTAATGAGAGACGACAACTGTAAAAGCATATGCTCTGTTAAGCACTATAAGCTGTTATTGTAATTTTTAAAAACTGAGTGGTATCTTAGTATTTATTAGAAACCTGAGGGCATGTTTGTGTGATTTACCCTAAAAGATTTTGTGTTGTGCCCTTCCAGTTAGTTTAGGGCTATTGATAGAGGCAAAACAAGAAAGATTATCAACTACACGCATATTGTTGGTCCCTAAGTTAGCATGAACCTAGGGAGAATGCTAAAGGACAGGCATTCAATTATGACTTTTTACTTCTATAGGTGACAGGAGATTTTTGTACAGAAATGGAGATGCAATTCTGACATACAAATGTCACTTATTCTGATTTTGTGTACCTTAGCTTCTAAGGTATTGAACTCTAGCTCATGTTTACAACATAGGAGTTCTAAATTTTGGTAATCAACAATAGGAGATACTAATGAAACTCACAAATTTACCAGATAAGAAGATACTACAAAAACACATACATTGATGACTGCAGAAAGCTTACTGCATGGTTCTTGGCATTAGGCCAAGTTCTAGTACAAGAATGCTCAAGAAAAGCCTGTTAAAAATTCCTTCATCCCCCACTGCATCTAGGATTTCCAGCAGGAAAGTTTTCCTAGACATTTATTAATTCTTACAACACCTGGTTTAAAGGCACTAACAATGGGGTAATGAGCCTTTTTAAAAAAAAAACTACACTAGCATCCTCCACAAGATGACCCCACTAAGAAGACAGGTACTACTGGAGAGAGGATAGAAGAAGGAGTCATAAGGAAAGGTGCAGATGGATGTGAAATCAATCTGACATTGATCAAGGAACTCATATAGAGTCCCATAAACCAGAATCAAATGCTAGAACATGCATTTGATGTTTCACAGCAAAGCATACTGGGTTTTGAGGGTGTGCTCTCTCCAAGGTTCATGGATAACAATTTCTTAGGGTCCTTGAACTACGTGAAAACCCTTGAATTAACCATAGTGTACTTGCAACTTATGCACCCCTGGTGATTAGTTGGGTTTTGATCTAGACACCCCAATACCAATCAAAAAAAAAAAAGAAAAAAAAAGAAAAAAGAAACCCTTCCCCATTACACTTTGTGTGGTTTCGGTGTAAGAAAAGAAGGAAAGTGGGCTTCTTTGTTTGGTATAGTGGATGGGTGGGTGAGAGAAGAAGACAACGGGGGAAGGATTGCCTTTCCTTTGACACAAAATAAACCATTCACCCATTTTTTCAGTGGGCCAAGGGAGAGAATGCTGATTGGGTTTCCAAAATGCGTGGAATGACTGTTAGCAATCCTGTATAACATCTGTTTGTTCACCATTTTATATCACTGGTATATGACAAGATATTATTCTACTTTACTAATTCTTTCCTGATTATTTTCAAACATTATTTTCAAACAAAGAATCAATTATGAATATCCAAATAGAAGGTGATACAAAAGTAACGATAAAAAACAGGTGACATAACATTTCTTATTATAAAATATCCTATTCCTTATCTCCTTTTTCCCTCAACCAAACAAAAATGAGGAAAATCTCAATTCCTCCTCTAGGACAGGCTTCTGCTTGCTTGGTTGGGACTTCCCTCCTTTCCATCCTAGCAAACATAGTGTAGATCAAGCGGTACCCTCATAATATTTCTCATAACATTGCATAATACAAATCATTTTATACATAATCTTGGAATCAGATGGCTCAATTTCCTTAATGTGGGCAAAGTTGTCTTGTAGTTAATTCAACACCACAGTCCACACAAGGACCATTTCAGACTGGCAACCCATTTTTACCCTTCATCCAAATTCACCAATGGAAGTAGTATGTATAACTAAAGATGAAAGGACATTATTGTGAAAGCAACACAGTAGCAAAAACCCTTGGACCACCTGCAAAAGGGCCATGCCCATTGCCCATCATGAGAACTCCGAAAAACCCGCGAGTGACCGACCCATCTATGCATATGTCCGCATCATCATAGATACATGGCTTCGTGGGTTAGCATCATCAACATCAACCACAAAAATGTAGAATTGTGAATTGATCTGGGAAAAATGTTTGAGGGCCACAAAAAGTGTGGCTCAAATGGCTCAAAATTGTCAAAACGACGTCATTTTGCGTCGTTTTACGCCCAAAACGACGTTGTTTTGGCAATTTTGAGCCATTTGAGCCACACTTTTTGTGCCCTCTACCATTGCTCTTGATCTGGTTATTCTACCCCTCATCTTTTCTTTCCCAGATAGCGAACCGTAGGAAGGGCATTGTGGTCCACAACATAATCACATATATCAATGCGAAACAGTGAGAATACACAACAACAACAACAAAGAGGGCACCGACGGCGCACGTTAGCATCAAAGGAAAGAATAAAGTAGCAGAAGACAAAATGCTAAGTATCACGAATTGCACGTGATATCACGCTTGGTGAAGTTGTACATAGCATGGCAGAAGAAGAAAAAGGGTAATTTGGTAACAAATTTGAGAGAGAGAGATAGAGAGAGACCTGCGATATTGAATGGGCATGTTGCCAGCCTTCCAAATGGCGATCTTCTCGAAGGATTCGATGGGGAGGACGAAGTGGGTGTTGGGGGGGTTGCAATGGCCGCCGGAGACGGAAGAGAAGCCGTAATTGGGGGCGCAGAAGTTGGTGGCGGTGACGATGATGGAGGTGCCGGGGATGCACCAACGGAGATCCTCCACGCACCTGATCTCGAAGCAGGCTCCGCAGATCTGCCCCCTCTCGAACACTGTGCTGCTCAGCCCCGCCGTCGCCATTCCGTACCCACCCTTCACCAGGTCGCCGTACCCACATGCTCCTCCCACCGCGTCACGGGGGTCCGCCGCCGCGTAGTAGGTGGCGTGTGCGGATCTCCACTCTGTAAAAGTAGAACTAGTAGTAGTAGCACTACTACTACCACCCCACCAGGATGATGATGATGATGAGGGAGATGGGTCGGATGATGAGGAATAGTGTGCGGTTACTAGTAATAATCCTGATGCTAGAGTTAATAGGAGGAGTCTCAGATTTTGTATCAGATTAACCAACATTTTCAAAGCCAGCTAGAGTGAGAGAGAGAGAGAGAGACAGAGAGACAGAGAGAGTGGTAGTAGTGGGCAAGGTATCAAAGCATTTGATCCATCTCTAGCCTGTCTTTTTACCTGAAGTTGGATTTTTTTTTTACTTTATCTAGCTTTTTCACTTTAATTGAGATGCGGTTTGTAATTGCTAAATAGTAGTGTGTTTTGGGGAAATTACATGAAGAAGAAAAGAAATTATGTGTGATTGGTTTGATTTTCAAGAAATCCTTTTCCCAAACCAAATACTAATTAATTACGTGAAAATTATTAAAAAATAAAAAAACACTCATTATTTTCATATAAATTTATTTTTAATAATAGAAATTACATTGACAAAAAAAAATATTAATTTTTTTTGTCAATGTAATTTCTATTATTAAAAAAAATTAAAATTAAAATGTTACAAGTTTAGGTGATACCCCTAATGCTGTGTTTAGTTGGGGGATTTGAGAATGGATTTGAAAAGAGAAAGGGAAAAGTTAGGTGAAATATGAATAAAATAAACTTATATTTCACCTAGTTTCACACACCTTTTCTCTTTCCCCTACATTTTTCATATATTCTATTTCCCTTTGCAAATCCCTCCCCAAATCTCCAAACTAAACACAGCATAAATGAGTTGTTATTGCACTAAATTATGGGATTTACCACTTTTATGTTAAAATTTTATGAGATAAAAGTGTTAGGTGTTAATTTATAAATAAAATAAAGTATTGTTTCAAGAATATTGAATAAATAGGTGCACCCTTTCTTGAAAATAATGAGGATATTAATGAAGAAGAGCATGTAAATGACTTGCTGGTTTATTTTATTGTCGTTTCTAGATGTTTCATGTTGCCGTAGTGGTGACTTTAGGATTTAAAAACATTTCGCTATCAAAATAATTTGTATACTTTATTTAAAAAATAATAATCTGTAATATAGGAGTAGGAGTTATCTAAAGAAAGTGATTAAAAACGAGAGATTTTTAAAAATTAGTTTTTGTAATTGCTTGAAAAATCAACAAGTTAACAAAAAAAATGTAAAAATTATTAACAATATTTAAGAGCTAGCTCTCTCCTTTTGTTGGCCGCTATTAGTTGGTAAAATGATTTCTTTTGTTTCACAAAAATACGAGTTTCTTTAAATTTTTTGCATTACGAATTAGAGCCATAACCTTATTTGGAAATTAAAATCAATATTATTACAATAAGAAAATTTCAAAATTATTTTGTTTTACAAAATAAAAATAGAAAGAAGAAGAAGAAGATATGAGAAATTTTCAAAATGTTTACCATGAGTTAAGGAAGAAAACTGAACGTGAACTTAAGATTCATTTGCGTTGTATTTGAATTATGAATTTTAATAAAGATTTAGAAGGGAAAAAAAAAAAGAAGTAATATAAATTAATTTTTTTCTCATTTTTCTTTTCAAATCCTCAAATTCATAATCCAAATGAATAAACAAACTCAATATTAGATTTCATGAAAGAAATATCATGAAAAGTTTCATGAAAATTCGCTATCATTGGATTGCACATACAATAATAAAACTCCACAAACTAATTAAATGATGAAAAAACTTTATGAAGCATTTCATAATATTTTTTTATTTTTTTGATATATCAAAAAAAAATATTTTTTTCATAAAACCTAATATTATTCAATCCAAATGAAATGAGTAATGCTAGGAAGGGGAGTGCAAGGAGAGTCAGGCTGAAATTGACCCAAGTCAGCAGATGGGCCAAGAAAATGTTAAACATTGGGTTGGGCTTGACATTGTGAAGTAGAGAGCCAGGCTGAAAATATGAGATGTATTTACAAAGGAGAATTTCTATGGACACCTCTCAAAAAGCATTGCATTTCTTTCTACCCATGGCTTGTCCAATACCACCAATTACTTTCTCTATTGATGCAGTTGTTAGTCCACCTTCACCATCATTAGCATTCTTTGACTTTCCCTTATATTCTCCTCATCTCCTCCTATTGTATCCAGTTTTACTACCATTCCTACAAGTCATGATTACACATTTGCTCCTAAATTTGTGAGGTTTAGCCTCCCACCAATATGTAAAAATACCATTAAAGTAATAACAAAACAAATAAATAAATATAGTAATACTACATTCACACAATTTTCCCCCTCCCAAATCCCCTCTAAATATGTTTTTAACATTTTCTTATCCGTCAGAAACACATTCGGGAGAATTCAGAAAGGAGGAAGAAATTATGTGGATGAATCATTTTTGAAATAAATAAAACAAAACACAAGAAAAAGAAAAGAAAAGATGTTTACACAAAAACAAGGTAAATAATTTAGTAAAACTAGAAAATACTAATTTTTTTTAATAGAAAGGCATCTTTGATTACATGTGCAAAGTAAGGAATCTAAAATATTAATAAAGAAAATTATCTTTAATTGCGTAAAACAGAAGAACAATCTAATAAAATCATAGAAGCCACCTTTGTTACTTCATTGATGAACAAGTGATAACAACATCGACAAAACTCACTATATGATGGAGCTTCCAAACCAGCATTGAGAGAACAGGTCTTCTCTCATAGCAACCATGTCATATTGGATTACCAAATTGTGGAGATTCAAGCCCTAGCTTTTCTCATGATCTTTTCCTCTTCTTTGAACCTAAATTATATTTCTACCTTGGGCAGGAGGAGGTTTTTCATGTTTATAAAATACCCTCAGTTAATAATATTTGTGAGGGGTTGGTGACAAATTTTGTTAATAATTTTAACACCATTAATAGTTTGGAGTAAAAAGTGAAGCAATGTCAATAATTTACAGGGGTAATATTCAAATTGATAGGCAAAGACACACTACTACAATAGTTTAAGGGACAGAGTAAATTTTCTCCATTTGCAAATTACTATAAATATAATTTGATGTATATACCCTTGTATTTGCAAAACTTTAGTTGAATTAAGGCTTGTTGAACTTGATTCGATTATTAAACAAGTCTAAAAATATAACTAGGCATTATTATTTAATTTACGAATTGAGCTTGGACATGTTTGCAAACTAACTTTCAAAGATCATAAATCTTGTCTTTTGTTTGACAAAACCGTTGAATCACTAGTAACAGTACATCAATATTAACAAACTTGTTATTCCCCAAAATTTATAAAATTTTAGAGTCATTTATTAACTTTTGTATTTTAAAAAAATTCTTAAGTATGTAAACTCTACAGATCGTAATTTAGTTAGGTACAGAGAGGGGCTTAAACTTCCAATTTTCAACCCAAATAAAGAAAATAAATAATTTATTTTTCTATATAGGAACATCTATTTATCTATACTATATATTAAGAAAGGGATTTCTAACCATGAGGACTCCAAGAGTTTCAAAATTTCAACCTAATTATATTGATTTTTCAATTTTAAAAATAAATCTTCCTTTTTTTTAATATCAATTGTCAATTAAACAAACCAAAATAAAAAATGAAAAAAATTTCCCCTCAAATTGCGAAAAAGTGACTTTTGCTAAAACAAATAGAAATAAATGTTATTTTTCTATTAAAAGTGATGGTTCATGAAATATCTTTTTTTTTTTAAAAAAAAATGAGGGCTATAGTTGATAATTTATTAGTTATCTAAAATTATTTTCGCATCAAATGTGAATAGCATTCTAATTTTTTTTTTACCTTTTTTTTAATCTAGATACTTTTATTTCATAAGAAATTTAATCTAATTATATTTAAATTATTTTATGTCATTATAAAATGTAATTTCTTTAATATCAATTTATTCGATGACCCCTTTCTAAAATGCGCATTTTTTAAACATAATAAAAAAAATTATATTGAAAAAACTTAAGCATATTGCTTTTGCTTTTGTTCATTAATATAAAAATTTTAATTAATCTTATTTATTATTTAAAAAAATAAATTAGCAAATAATTCTATATATTTATATATACAATTTTGTTTCTATTTCTCAGGTTATTTAGTATCTCTATCCAAATCCACTAAAATTTATTTGAATTTTTGAATTTTACATAGGTCTTCACCTAATTAAAAATTATGTTGCTCAATCATTAAAAAATTGCAGACTTGACTTGAGTTGCTTGGGTTAAACTTGCTTGAGTTTACAACTCTAACAAAAGGATTGAAAGTTACATGATTGAAATTGTGATAAATTAAAAATTGATATATAAATTATGATAAAATTGTGAAACTTAAATTGTAAGTTTCAATATTTTTTTATGCTTTCATAATTTACATACAAAAATCTAACTATTTATATTATTTTATATAAAAATATTTTGTTAATTTTTTTATATCCCGTGCATAGCATGAGTTTTCACTGGTTTACTAATAAATCTTACATCCATGACATGAGTTATGGACCATTTGGTCCCATAAATATTCTTATAAATTCATAAGTCCTATTTCACATTAAAATTTCCAAATGAAGCATACTCACATTTAGAAACGTAATAAGACAATAGTGCATACATTAGAATGATGTTACATTGTCACATTCTAATAATAACATATTTAACAAAACTTTAATAAGACAATAATACACACATTAGAATGATGTATGATTGTGGACCTCGCGGTATACCATTTTCAAATTCGATGGAACATATGAGACTTTCTCATACACATTTTTTTGAGATGAGACTCCTAGATAAATTTTTCATTTTTTTTTTTAATCATCTTGCTTTCATTAATCATAGAAAAATTGACCGGTAAACCCCGTTTTATGGACTTGTTCCCAAATGTTTTTAATTGTACCGCGTGGTCCTTGTATAATTGGAATGACTAAATTGCAATTGGTGGTAGTGATTGGTAGGATTGAATGACATGGCAACAAGAAGGTGGGCAAGTGTTTGGTGTTGACGTTTTATGAGCAACAAAAGTGTATTACAAACCGTGAGTTGTGACGACGTGAAATACAAAATCAAAATCCCCAAATCGGAAACACCATAATTTGTGAGATTCTTCAGTTGCCCTAAAATCAAGCAGTCAGACTTTCGTAAATCAAAATTCAAAATTCATTTGATCGAATCCCACATTTTTGGTTTCGATATGAATATACAAGATCTGGTGGGTCGAGCAGTTCCATCTATATGTGTTAAAGATATATTGTG